TGAGAAAGATGGAAGAGGAAATGAGCCGTTTCAGGTCAGAGCTCATGAACAGGGAGTCCAACAACTACTTCAGATCCACTACCAGGTAGATATCCATTCAGGATTTCAGCAAAGTAGAGCGTGAATGTGTATTATTGGTGTAGGGAAACGTATCGGTGCGTGACTACGTTTACGTTGAAGTGCCTAAATCGGATAGAATGTGATTTAAATAACTATTGCGAGTAAATCCGCTCCTTCAGTTTTATAGGCTGTTAATTTTTTGACTGACTCGTTAAGGCTGCTGTGTCGTTTCGTTTGGCCCTTTTGCAGAAGGTGAAATTTATGAGAAGGAATACTATCTTTTGAACTCATTTCAGTAGGATCCATTTTCAAGATTTAGGAACCGTGAAGATGCAGTATAAAGGCTTGGACCAATTTGTGTACGTCTAGACGTCACCTATAAACCGTATTTCGGAACTCTCAGTACTTCAAAGTTAACAAATAAAGTACATATCTTTACCAAATCTCTCTTGATTGCGGATCTTGTTGAGACAGAAGTGTACCAATTTCGATCATTTGCTCAAACTATTCCAAGAATCTTTGTCGTTGATTTTAGTTATGTGAAATAAACAGATTTTATAGCAGCTGTAGTATGCCAAAATCGTTAAATGAAAAGGATCACAGGGTTAAAGCATTTAAAGATTTTTTCAAGTTTTTTCGTACCAATATTTTACTAATCTTACCTTTTTGTCATATCTACAGATTATGAACTTTCACATGCGTCTTTTACAATACGCAAAATTGTAAAGACTATACTCACGTCAAGTCTTACTGTTACCGAACATTATCTTGAGATCTAATGTATATGTGAATATATATAATATATATGTTCAAAAAACACCAGCACTTTATCAGTTTGACCGATACTGCGACGTCTCGTTATATTTTTGCCATTAATTTGTTAAAATAAAATTCGGACTGTTAACAACTAGATACAATATATGGGCAGTAGGTATAAAATGTCTTTTCTCATTCTTAAATAATAGTCTTCATACAAAATATGGAAACTTGGTCCATTTAGAACAGATTTTGTCGATAACGTCTGCATTCCAGAAGAGTCCTAAGTCCGATGTAAAGCATGACGCGTAAACGTAGTCATAGCGACTGAATAATAACACTCTCCTTGAGGATATCGATCTCTTTAACTGGTAAAAGGACTACAAGGAAATTCGCTGAAAGGAAAATGCGTGATTGTATTCTCGATGAGGACTTATCGGGTGTTACGGTATAGTTAGGTCAGAAAATACGAGGTATGACAATCAAATTATGGACTCTTGAGACAGCTAAATAGAATACCAAAGCTCTGGATCATGGGATACATTGTCGTAACCCAATGAATCGGGCAAACAGTCGCTTCAACGGGTATTTTCATTTGGAAACATGACTGCTATTTCCAAAATCAGAAAAACACAAAATGATGTAAGAAAAACAATGTAAAATACGCTTTAGCATTGACATAGGTATTGTCCTATAAAGTTCATTGTAGTAATTTTTCTAAATGCAATAGAGCTTGTTTGTTTAGCTTTGGTCTATTTTTACCTACATATTATAACCATGTTAGTTAAATATAACATATTAAGAAGACCACCATCAAAAAGCAAGCAGGCGTCGAAAAAATTCGTAATCTCATAAGTTGTGATTTCGTAAGCTTAAGTAAAGCTTCTATAGGTATTAATTACTTAAATTGATTGATCAGATCAACATTTGTTCACAACATAACAACATCTGCCAAAAAGCAAATTCAATAAATCAAATACCAATAGGCATCATGAAATTCGTAATCTTATTGGTTGCGATTTCGTAAGCTCAAATAAAGCTCTCGTAGAAATTGTCATTCAAATTAGTTCTGGGATCCTTTTGACAAACATTATTTATTAAAAAGAAAATTTGAGACTTCAAATAGCATCAAAAAATTCATCATATTATTGATGTATTAAAGCTCTTAGTGACAGTCTGATCGATTTTCTGAACTTCCAGACCTTTATCAAAAAACCACACCAAGAAGCATCAAAATATTCAAAATCTTATAGATTGTGAAGTTCAAATAAAGCTGTCACAGGAAATTGTAGTCATATTGTTTGTGTACTCTTTCAAATCAACATTTATCAAAAAGTAAATTCAAGACTTATGGGGTTCTAAAATAAAAATCGTAAGCTCATCGATTATGATGTGGAGAGCTCATAAAGGTCCCGCAAAAAAATTCTTTAAAAATTGATATTTAAACCTCCAAATCAACATCATTCATCAAACAGAGAATTCAGATTCGAAAAATTTATAATCTCATAGCTTATGATCTTGTAAGCTCAGATAAAGCTCTTATAGAAATTTTTATTCATATTCATTACTTAATAGCTTCGTTTTCTTAACAGGATTCTTTTCAAATAAATACACTATGATTTTTGAAAAGTGTCACTTATGCAGAATCGAGAGTCATATAAAAATCGTATCTTATTCAAGTTTTAAGATTAAATAGAGTTCTTATACAGTTTTATTGACACTGATATATGTTTTTTCGGAGCTTCATTCCTTAACAATAGGAGTGTTTTAAAAATGATTTTTTGAATAGTGGCCTTATACATATAAGTGAAAGTTTCCAAAATTTGTTTGTCAGATCTCGTTTACAATCCACTTGACCACTTTGTACTACAACAGTATGGAATAATAAGCACCAGACGTGTTGCCAGGGCGCACACACCAATACCAAACTTAATTATTCAACATTTGGCCCTGCGCTGCGTTGTGTAGTGAAAGTGGACCAAACAAATATGGACATACAGAGTTACACAGACGACGTTTTGGTTTCACCCGTGACGACGGAGTGAAGTAAAGAGCAGATGGATAGACATACAGGGTGAACACGGGTAAATTAAAAATTACGGTCAACTTCAGTAGGAGTGATAACTATAGCTGTTATATAGTTCAGGATACCATGTATTTCTATTTACTTATTCATTATGCTCCGTTATTACAAATTTGTATATACAGAGTTTCATATGAAAAAACAGTAGACTAGAATACTGATTGACAGTCACGAATACACAGGAAGTATGAAATATAATACAAAAATATAAATACATATAACGAAATGACAGATACGAATTTGACTCTGAATTCAAATTCTCAAATTTTAAAGTAAAAGATGACTGGATATGTTCACATAAGTACGATAAGTACTACGTCTCAAACTATATAGAATAAACCAAACAATCGGTGCCGTCTTAATAATAGAACGTATTTCGCTTATACCAAAGATGCAACTCCAAACCCAGGAACTTTCAACTTTTCCATTTTTTATAATCGCTGAACGACAAATCACGATGTTTAAGCGAGTTTTGTTTTTCTGGCAGCACCGCTGCCACCTAATCAATTTGCCATGCCTTAAAGCTTTTTCGTTCTTATGCTAGTAGTCACATTATGTTAAAGCCCCATCAAAGCCATACTATCCGAGTTATAAGGGAACAAATAGACAGATCACTTTGTTTTGGCCGTTTTACAAGATTATGGTTGTTTTTGTGATTTAAATTATGAAAAACTCAGAACTATATTATGATTCATCATCAGGAAACGTTTTTAACTGTATATGGTTGTATATACGTACTAAGTGACATATAAATCCGAACACCCAGTTTAAATGGTTCTATTTTAATAAAAGTTGGTGAATGTATTTATCTTACTGTAAATAACAAGTGAAAAAATGTTCACCCTTATCAGTTGGACATTCCGGTTTTTATACTGCTTTTTTTTAATTCACTAACGCTCTAAAAATGAATATTTCAGCCGCAGTAAAGAATCAACGTTGGCGGATTTTGGTTCTTGACATCCTTTACGATCGGTTACGATGCCTAGAGTACGGAGACCTGTACGATTTCGTCAACTTAGTGAGTTTGATAGGGGCCGTATAGTGGGACTTCGGGAAGCTGGACTTTCTTTTCGGGCAATTGCAGTTAGAGTGCAAAGAAGTGTAGACACTGTGGTTAGGTGTTGTCAGGCATGGCTTTGAGAAGGCCGTACGCAAAGAGCAAGGGGCACTGGACGCCGCCGTAGAACAACAGACCGTGAAGATCGCCGCCTAAGATTATTGACCTTAAGGGACCGTTTCTCCACTACCAGGTCCATTGCAAATGATTGGTTTGCAGAACACGAAAGACCTATAGGCATGCGAAGTGTTTACCGACGAATGAGAAGTTTTGGCTTGTTTTCATACCGGCCACACTGGCTCCTCCCTTTAACTCGAGAACACCGACGTAATCGCCTTGAGTGGTGCAGACAACGGTCACTCTGGGATCAGGAATGGAACAGTATTGTCTTTAGTGACGAGTCTCGATTTTGTTTAGGCATGCACGATGGTCGTGCCAGGGTTAGAAGGTGACGTGGTGAAAGGAGGAATCCACAGTTTTTTGTTGAAAGACATGTTCATCACACTGTTGGAGTTATGGTTTTGGGTGCTATAGCTTATGGTTCCAGGTCACCTTTAATCTTCATCAGAGGTAACATGAACGCGCAGCGTTATATCCACGAAGTTCTAGAACCCCATCTTGACACCCTGGCAGATCCAACTTTCCAACAAGATAATGCCCGACCACATGTTGCAAGAGTCACAATAGACTTCTTTCAACATAATGATGTCACATTGTTACCATGGCCACCAAGATCTCCCTACTTATCCCCAATTGAGCACGTGTGGGATATGATGGGTAGGAGATTGCTCAATTTGCAACGTCCTCCTCAGACTCTAGAAGCACTTCGAGAGGTGTTGGTGGTTGCCTGGAATGAGATACCACAGGAGGACATTAACCACCTGATCAGAAGCATGCCTAGGCGCGTTGGAGAATGCGTAGCACATCAGGGTGCATCCACACATTATTAAAGGTCAAAGGGCTTTAAAGCAGTCCAATCATTTTGAAATTTTTATCATTTACTTATTATGCTTCATTAAGTACTAATACAAAATTTTATTAAAATAAAACCATTTAAACTGGGTGTTCGGATTTATATGTCACTTAGTATATGTATGTGAATGCCTGAGAGGTACTGAGTTAACCTACCTTACCGAATTTCCTTCTTGTTGTTACGCCTGAAATAGTCATGTTTTCCTACTTATATTGAGGAAAACACAAATTGAAGGTTTTAATTTTTTTGTTCTTTCCACTACAGACAGACAAACGGACCGATGGAATCGCTTTTTCGTGATGTCCATGTCATGTAATATCCAAAAAACGTATTTTATTTTGCGATTACAATACTTTCCGCTAGTGGCGCATAAGCATAATACGAGGTGTATAAAGTTGTCCTTCTGATAGTGATAGTTCACCTTACATTTTTTAAAAACAGATGGAGATATCGAGATGGATTTTGATACACGCAAATGCATTATTAAAGGACATATAACTTTATACATATGATGATATAACTCTCTATTTTTAGCGGAAAAAAACGTACACCGGTTTTGCATAAAAATATAAGTTGTATCTTAAAGCCACATTGATTCACGTTTTCGTAAATCTCAATGTTAAAGTGTTAAACGCTACATTCTCTCAAATCTTATGTAAATTAATGAGGAAAAATATAATATCCTCGGTACAATGACTGTCTCTGTAAAATATATACATATATTAAATCCACCCACCACATACCACATTCGTAAACCACATGCTACTGTTAATAGTAATAAGGCAACATAGTTCCGAGCAATTCAAGTGGAACTGCGATGATGTCATATATATCCCACTCGGTCCACGTATTGTTTTTTTTAGTGATGAATAATGTTTTAAAAGAAAAGCGACAACTCATTCGCTAGCGTTATTAGTCGATGAATTTTTGGCACGAGAAAAGAGGAGAGGCAGTACAGATTGAATAAATTTATGATTGGGTATTTTGTTTTCGTTACTGAAACATGAGATTGGTAAGCATGGAATTTTTTGTGGTGCTTTTCTGTCCTTTTGTACAAAAAAACTCCTTTTATTCAATTCAAAACTTGCATCCCTAAGTTAATTTAAAAACTAAACAGAGTTACTGCCAAAAACTGGGAAATAACGCCTTGAATGCAAATTCTATTTGAAACATTCCCTCAATTCAATAAAAGTTATGTGTATTTTATCTTCAAGATAAGGGTTAAAAATCCGTGTGTAATAATTATTCAGTAAATAATGATTAATTACGTCTCCGTCTAGACTTGCAAGGTGGAGAGATTCCAAAATGTGTGTACCTACTATAAATGTTATCTGGATGTTAACATTGATTAACATATCCCACTTCATGTTACTGATTCTATGAGAATAATACAGGTCAAATCTCTATCGTGGAAAATGGGAAATACAAATGACATAATATTCTTGATCAGAATTTTAATTGTCATACGGTCTAAATGAGTTTGTTCTTTGCTGAAAGCTTGCTAGCATAACAACCATAATATTGGCATGTAAACAAGGTAACCGTTTACCATAATGAAGTGAGGAATGACACGATCTCCGAGATAATATTATATGGCAAACGTACAATACAAAATGGACGACGTCACTCTATTTTTATAGCATCTTCACGTAGGTACACAATTTGTATACGTTTAACTATCGCTGTCAGTCCGATACGTATCAAATGCTGACAGATCGATCATTTAAATACTTACGTCCTGACGACAATAAATTACGATGGTAATATTGGAAATTCAAGATTTCTATATATGGATAAATTGGTGCGAATATATTAACTCCGAGGCTGTAATATACGAGTATTTTCACTTCCAACGCCACTGGGCGAGTAAGCATTGTAATGGCGGAAAATTTTGAGAACGAGGTATTATATTTTTTTGAATGTTCTACGACATCTGTAACTTAGAAAGTACTGCTCGCTCAGATTTGGATGAAATTTTTACGAAAGGTCACTACTATGCCAAGGACGAAAAAGCTTTTTAGTTTATGACCTTTTTCTCCTCCGCCACTGGATCTATTTTCATAAACTACAAAGCTTTTTTCCTTGGCATAGTAGTAAAAACATATCTCATTTTCTAGGTAAAAGGAATACTAAAAAAAGTGGCATTGTAAAAATGTACCATAATCCAAACATTAAGTATGTTGTTTAAAATAGATCCAGATTTAATATTTTGTGTTGTTGAGAAATGTAAACGTTACATAATTTCTTGCTCATGCAATTTAACAAGCAATTAGAATTTTGTTGATCAGGATTTATCAAAAGGGAGTGTTTATAAAATGATTTAGTATTGAACCTGACGTTTTTCCGTTTTTTTATATAAATTTGATTTATTTCAAGACTAATTAATTATTTGGAGCCAAGTTCAGGTCGCGGGCTCCAGAAGAGTCTAGGGCTATCGTAGGAGGAGATATTTAACTGAATTATGATTAACAATATTACTTATTATGCAACCGATGAGACAAGCCTATTTTCGAAAGCTTAGTCAGAACTATTCGTAACAAAAAATAATATACAAAAATTAGTCATTCCAATTATTCTCATGTAGGTATTGCATTTTTCTAATAACTTAATTGATTTTTGAGGCAAAGCAACGCCTAGTGCAATAACAACACATTTAGACGATGAAGTGTGTATCAAAACCCTTGATACACATGTTGCTCGACATTCAATATACAGGGTGACTTCGAAGTTAAGTCATTTATTTTAACAGTGAGTAGATCTGATCAAAAGAAATGTTTTTCTCCTTTACCATTTTTCTGGTAAAATTAAAGTAACAAAGTTATAGCCCTTTGGAAGTTTGAGTACCGTCCTGTCTCAATAATAATATTATGTGCTCGTGTTTGGCAACAACGGATATAATCCGCCTTATTGGTTCATCGCATCGGAAACAAAAAAGCGAAAGAATTTGAAACGCTTATCACGATGTTTTTACTACAATTTTATTCAGTCAATGTGTCAGTCGGTAACGCGTGAGTGAATAGTGGTGTTTATTGCGTGGCTCAAACGAAATAAAAAATGGCACATGTTTACAAAAATGCTGAACTTGTGGACATGATTCTTATTTACGCGGCATCACGGATTTATGCGGATCGGTTTCCCAATCGAGTGCAACCAACCCCTCGTGCCTTTGTCAATGTAGTACAAACGGCTCGTGAATCAGGTGACTTAAGACCTCACAGGGGAGGGCATGCCGGTGCTCCAAGACCGCACGATCAAATACAGGTCCGCACTGAAATACTTCTCGGGAGGATACTTTATAAAACAAGGTAACATTTTTTTATTTTTTTTTATTTTTACACACATATTTTGGTTTATCTTCCTTCTACAATCATTGTCTGAAAATTAATGTCTCAACTTCAAAGTCACCCTGTATTTCCAACCAAACAGTAAACGACGTTAAATCATGTTTTTGAAAATCCCAGTATCTGTAGTGTTTATATCTAAAGACAGGTACATATTTTACTGGTATTTTTACTACGTGTAAACAATACATATGTTGTATATGTAAGATCGCGAACGTTCGAGCAAAACCAAATACTTTATGAAAACTAAAAATAGCGTGGCGTCAGTTTTTCGGTGGGACGGTTGCCAGAACTCGAGTTGGAATGGCTTATGTCTGCTTCTGATCGTCATAGGCGGCTAGGCAATGTAATGAGCCTACACGATTGGATGAACACATCAGGGTCGTCTCTAGGCTCGGCAGTTAACTGATACAGATCGTTGACCTATTCTTGTCAAGATCAACCTGCAGAGTCAGGTGCAAAGGGACGTATCAAAAAAATATTTAGACTATTGCAAAAGTTGAGTAATTTATTAAGGCCGAATTTTATAAGCTAACAATTTTCGAGCTTCCCGTTCTAATAATTATACACAGGAAGTCACTCTGCTACTGTTGTAGAACCGTTCTGTAATAACAGATGTTTCAAATTCAGATAATAGCCCGGCTCGCAGAAGTACTGTGATCATATATTTTATGAAATGGAGTCAAGAAGGTTGACTCTGCACTTCCCTCGCGACATCGTTATCAGTTCATATAGGATTATGTTGAATACATACTAGACCCTTTGAGAAAAATGTCAGAACCACACAACACAACAAACCCGGCGGCACGTCACCGTAAGCAGCAGCCGTGGCCGGTAGGTACGCCATCCTTCTGATGAGAACATTTTTCCAATGCTAAAGGCTAATGTGCGGGGAAATCTATGATATGTGAAATACGTCTAATAGGTGTGTGGAATAACCAATGTGGGGAACGTATAAATGTACTAACATCAAATCAAATTGAGATCCTCTGAGACGACAAAAAACAAAGTGTTTTACTCTCGTTCGTTTTTGGCCTTTTTCTTTGCCGCCACTGGACCGATCTTCAAAATAAAGCGCTTGTGTCCTTGGCATAACCTCGTGTAAAAATTTCATCAAAATCTGCGTACTTCTCAAGTTATAGGCGGTTATAGAGGTTTAGCGGACATACAGAATGACGGAAATGAGTGAAATGGTTTTTCGTGATGTACGAATACATTTCATGTAACATCAAAAAAACATATCTCATTTTTGAAAATTTTCGCGATACAATACTTCCCCGTCTGTATGCGTGGGAAGTAAAATGAATTGGAAGTAAAAAAAATGTCGTTTTGGTTGAGGTTTAGTTGCGATTCCTAGAACCCATTTTATAGTATATGTATATAGTGTGAAAACCTCATTGAGGATATTTCCAAATTAAATGCTTCTGAAAAATGTCTGAAAAACGCACCGTTTTCCTCACTTAGTTTTTTTCTTTTTGAAGATATAAAAGGCAAAAATTCGAAGCTTTAACCTTGGGTTACTCTTTCGTTTTTTGATGGTTTTTGAGACTCAATGAAATACTTTTGTTTTTGGAAAAGCTCGGTAGCCGATTATGGGAAGGATTGGATTCTCTTACGTTATACCAAGTACCAAAATTTAAGTAGTAAGATTTTTTTAGACAGGGGTACGTTTGCGCAGTAATGATACGAGCCGCTACTCATTTTCAGTTTGGTGGTTGACTATGGTTGAGGCTATGGCTCTTCTAAAAACAGATTTAGACAAAATATTCTCGAAATAAAGCTTCTTATGTTATAAAAACACTCTGTAAAATTACACCTTACAGAGTTTGATGCATGATGCAATATTGTGTTTAATAGAATTACAAATTAGGTATCCAAACAAAAGAGTTAACTCGAATAAATAAGTGTATGGAACTTATTGCTGTCATTTTGTCTTCTGTTTGGTAACATTTCGAATTTTCGCCTTCTATTTTACGATCTGGCAACTAAAATCGCCTTGCAGAGGATTAGCATCGATTTCATCAACTCTTGAATAAGTCAGTTGTCCGCAGGCAGACGTGACCATATATGGTTGATATATGCTCACCTACATATACATTTTTCTCAAATGCTTCATTATAATAGATATACAAAATAAACTGGTTTTTCGCTGTACGCATAATGAACACGTATATCCATATTTGCATTGTTCACAATTATTCTACGAACTTGTCGAGATTGCATACAGGATGCCATGAAAAAGTAGTATATGATGCTACAATGTGTAGGTAGAGGCAGACACTAGAACAAATATTTGTTCTAGCAAAATCCTTGAATCCTGATATTAAAGGTGTTTAAAAGCATCAGGTTGCACTTGAGGTATGATTAGCGCGACAGTCGGAGGTAAAAACCTTCGGTCACCCGCAGTTTGTTGGCTGAGTGATCGGAAACGCTGAAAACTCGATTAATCGGCTTTGTAGCAATTATTTTTTTTTATTGATTAAGTTTCCTGAAACAGCCTGACCATCAAGTTCCATAACACGTCTAGAGCCATGAACCTTCTAAATCTAAGTTACATTGCCTTCACTTCTCATGCGAGGAACTATTATAATCGCGAAAAGTTTCTAAAATGGGTTATTATGTTTTTGGATGTTATATAACGTACATCACAAAACACCATGTCACTCATTTCCGACGGTCCGTCTTCCTGCCTGCTAATCGTTGGCCCGTATATAACTTGGAAATCACCGCATGGATTTTGTTGAAAAATGAAAAAGCTTTGTTGTTTTTGAAAGTCGGTCCAGTTGCGGCGAAGCTAAGGGCAAAAAAAGGAGAGAACAAAAATAGCTCAAACTTAGTTTTTGTCGTTCCAGAGGTTGCTGATCACTTTCGGAAAAATGTTCGTTTTTTATGTTAGTATGCTTATACTATGACATATTTATACATCATAGATTTTCCTGTACACTTGCCCTCAAAACTCAAAAAAGATCTCTGGAAATTTCTAGATTATTGTCGTTGTCAAACGTGTGGGAACTATGGGGTAATTTTCTTCTTCGTTCGTTATAGATGCCTGTAGCTAACTTTTTGCTCAGAAAGGCTAAATTGCTCCGAATATAATCCTTTACGGACTGGTGACAGCGTTGCGCGAAAAGCACAGAGTCAACCTATTTGACGATATTTTTTTGCATTTAAATTCATATTTGTTGTCACTGAAGAAAACAAACGTGGGCCAGTAGCGCTATTAACTTATGTGTGGAAAAATCTACTATTTCAATGACCTTTTAGAGGTGCAGACCTATTTTATGCATCTTACACAACTTGAATCGTAAAACATAACATTACATCACAGTGGTCGAACGTTTTTCGGCCGACGCCAACATGTAGGCGGCATTGTAATTCGAAATAATTTTGGAATCTGAAATTCCATCATGTTTTTCAACGTCTTACGTATTGTATCAATCATTTATATGTTATGATAAATGGATACAAGATGGGTATGGAAACAGTCGGTGTTTATGATAAAAATCTAATTTCAAATATAGTATTGAATGCTTCCGTCAAAATATAAAAATATCTGTTAAATTCATCTCAGATTTAGAGATGGCTGGCAGGTGATAATATGACGAATCATTTGAAGCATACGCTAAAAGCTCTTTTTATCCACTAACGACTAACGCATTGTCAGTAGTTGAAAGACAGAAACATGAAGTCAGCAGTAAACTTGGATCGAATCAAATCTTATTAATAAAAAAAGCGGTGATATTAAATCAGAAATCAGTCAATTCATAATTTTAATTTTAAAGTATACTATTTTTGTACCATGATCTCATTACTTCATATCATTTTCATGGAATTTATACTATCTTTGCAAATTATTTGATTCGAATTGAGCGACGACTATAATTTTTATCGTTTACTAATAACTTCTCGAAGCATTGATAGAGGTATTAAAATTAATTTCCATAATTATTTTTCGTAAGTGGTTACGGATATTGTCTAAATTGTATGTAGAACATGTCTTCATTTTAAAAGATGCGTAAATAAATTTGAGCTAGTGTCAAGCTGTTTCGCTGCCAACAAGAATATTATGTTAACATGACAACACAAATATACAAATATGCCCAGGTTAGACTCGACAAAAATAAAATGCTCTAAAATATTATCTATGGTTTAGGTGGTCAAACACGTTAACTGGAGATGAACTCGGGCAATGAAAGTAGCATGGTAGTAAAAAAACACTTTGTAGGAGCATCACGTAATAATAGTTAGATCTAATCATGGTTTGCTCGAAACAACACGGCAAAAAGTTTGAATAATGTACACAGGTAATCTCGACTGAACTTACCTGCCAAAAGATTGATACAAATATGTCATCGTTGCAAAATAGCAATAATGTATACGTATATAATCCTCTTACCTGAATCTGTGATTCTTTTACTATGATAATATCGATGCAAGCCCTTTTTTGGTCTTATCCAATATTTCCAAAATTGCATACGACATGTAAGACTCGCTCTGTGTAACTCTCGTAGCTTTAGGGAAGGGAAAAAACCACGGAAATTTGGATCTGTACTCTGTGTGCTCATTATTATATAGTGGTATATATCAACGAAAAATCTACTTACTAGTTAATTTACAATATTGTCAACTTTTGTGGTGAAGGCTGGGGTTTTAAAAATTTTATACTGAGTTCACTTAAACCCAAAGTATGGTTAGAATTCGTGCTGCTTTTCTAAAAGTCTAGTTTTGTTTCTTTCGTAGCAAAAGAGTGCTAGTTCACCGTAATATAATTTCTGACTTGCCGGGTTAGCACCCCACAAATGAAATTTCATTGCTTCCAGTTATAACACTTGAGACACAAGAAATGGTCAAACTGTTCAATGAACACAGATCTCAAGGTCATATCATATTATTTAACCCGCTGTAGACTAGATGCTTCCAGACCTCAGTTCTGTAGGTGGGCAAACATTGCTTTTCCAGTTACAGAATCATGTGTGTGGATTTACAATTTGCTAAAAGTGAAACTTACTAAAAATCCGTACATATTGATTGATAAAAGGGAACGTTCATGCCAAATTGTGTTGGGCTGGTTTTAAATTACTTTCCGAATTTACTATCCGGTTTACGTAAACTCAGAGCTGTACGCTATAGGAGTGAAAAAAGTTCTTGGTCTAAAAATCCAATATCACTCATAGTTGAGGTATGTTTTTTTTATATTTAATACTCTCGAACCTTCCATTCGTTGGACGAAAACAACAATATAATCTTAAATTAGGCCAAGAGTTTTTTCACTTTGATAATTAATGTAAAATACGATTACTTATGAAATGGTATCGCTTTACGCCTAATATATTTTTGAAAGATGTTTTTTCTAGTTAAAACTATCTGAGCTGAGCTAATAACAGATTGTAACCCCAAAGCTAACAACTGCTTTTAATTTGCATGTCTTACGAACGTGAAACAATATCTGGAGGAAATAAGTCTTCTTCCACGACCAGGTTTGTATAAGCTTATTTTTTTCTGATGAATCATCAGATCCATATGTTGTGCTCATCTAGAAATAAGATTTACTCACAACTGCTAACATAACCCTTTCACTATGTGAGCAATCCTCTGGATTCGTTAGAATACAGAATATATTGTGGCAAACTGAAAAACAATTCTCCTTGAGCAAGTTTTTAACGACTGAAGGGTATTTTCTCAGCAAATATTAAGTCTGTAGGGCCAGTCTGAACCTTTAAAAAAATCCCACTCTTTTCAAGGCCTTAAACACCGGTGTCGTTCAGAAGTTATTCCGCAAAAGATATTTTCAGGCGGTGTTCTTTAGGGAGAAGTATCTTCGTAAGGAAACGGTTAAGCACATTTTGTATAGGAACTTTGGAGCCATTATAGTATTAAATTATATTTGTCTGCATATTTTATCTTATGCAGTATTGTTATCGTTATTTTGCTTTATTCTATTAGTAATAGTCAGAACAATTAATTCTTGAGTTATCAGATAGATATACCTGTATGCCATTCATAAAATTTTCATAGTCACCATTTCATTGGCGAGTCATAGAGATGGAATATAGGTTTCGACAGCTTCGTATCTATTATGACTATTTGCTGTAGGACCGATAAAAAATATTACTAGCTGATGGATTTCCGTAGTACCTTTGGAATGAGTATTCACCCGCAAGGCCGCAAAAGTTATAAAAGCTCCTATTATTTTTAGTATTGGTTCTTTATTTTGTAATGACAAATGTGACTTGAGAGAATTGCATTTGTATAGCTGATATAAATCATTATATGCAAGCATTTTTTAAAACTAATGCAGATGAAAAAAAATGTGTCTAAAATCCGTATATTGAAAACTAACTCATTTAAATCTTCTGTACTTCCTACTGAAGCATTCAGTTTTTGTTATATTATTACTCAATTGTAAATACTAGAACGAAAATACCATTAACAAAACCCCAACCTTTATAGCAAAGACCTAGTCACATTTACCAAAGACAGTGCATGGACAAACTTTGGAAGAGTTTTTTGACAGTCATCAATATACACTTTTTAGGAGCAATATATTTATGTTGCATACTTTTTTGAAAATAACTGAAGAGATCAATTTTGTATGCAATTATATTCAACCAAGGAAATATAATAAATCATGTGGCCATGTCAACTATGTATGTACATACATATATGCCTAGTATCACGGTAAACTTGAGATCATCTTCTAAGTGCGCAGTAACAGACGCCGCCTCACCCCTCATTTAAAGGGGACTGTTCTCCCTTCTGTACAAAGTCATAAAATTTCCCTCTTTATCTCAATCGCCAACTGTCCTGGCACGTCCTTGTCGAATCAATACGGTTACAATTCTGGTCCTGGCATTGAATATTTTCCAACAATGTAGGTAATTGTATTATGTAATGGTCGGTATGTCCAATATATAGGTAACTATTCAAAGATTGTTCGTTTGATAAATCTGATACAGTAGCGAAAACAAAAAACAATTCGCGACCCACCACTGATATTGGTACCTATGCCTTTGGGAGGTGGATATCTGTAAAACATTACGAGTTCGGATTAGGCAGTATCAGAAGTTTTATACAGTGCCTACATTTCTGAAGCTAGCTATGTGCAGGGGCCCTCGGGCACACAGGCATGTGCGGCCAAGTACTCGTACATTTTTTCTGAGAATTTCGTTTACATTTTGGGCATTTGGAGGGCCCTTATCAAGCCGTGGCCGTGCGTTCGAGCCTCGTTTGTTAAAAACATGTCATAATAGAATCTTGGACTGTTGCGATCAAAAATCTTCAAAATCAAAGATATCACACGAATGCCCAAGATAGATATGCAGAAATGCTAAAACGCGATATCTTAATGGCGTAGAAATTCTTAGTTTCTGCGAAGTTGGTCTAGCTTTTAGCTCAAAAATGTGCATATCTATATCTTCGCCCATTCATTTAGTCTTTTTCAATTTCGTGAATATAATTTCAACATCCTGTATCCCGGTATGAGGCATTTCAGAGCCCAAGTATATACATATTACTAACTTTTCGTGTCTAGTATTTTTGGATGTACTTTTTGGTCATGAAATAAGGCTACTGTTTTTCGAATCACCAGCTATAGAAGTTAGCTCTAAATAAGAAAATCACTCAGATCGGGTTGCATTCTCGGTTTTATTAGATTCTGTTACAAAAATTTCAGTGTTTTCATCAGTTTTACGATAGTTTCGTAATTTATTTTTAAAACATTATGAAAACAAACAGCTTATGACGATATTGTCTAGCACCCACCATAACATAGATTTGGGTCATGAGACGCCCATGTTTGAGGTATATTTAGGCGATCTAAGATACATATTGGCATGGTTCATGGCGATATTAAATATTTTACTGTTGAGAAATCAGCCGTTAATGGTCCTTGACTGAGTTTTGAGTAGCGCAAAGATAAATATTAACTTATTTTTAACCTGCGCCGCTACTGCAGAGTGGTTAGCAGCAAAAATAAAAATGATAAAAGTAAATTACTGGCTTGCATACATATATATGAGAGGATGAGGTCATTCCTAATCATTTATACAAACGATTCAAGTGTCGCATACTACACAGTAAGCCTGGTAACGTGCAAGAATGGATAAAATAGTGCTCAATGATCATGGTAATTTAACATAAATGTAAAAATTGTTGTGTACAACAGATTCTTCTAATTAGCATATATTAGTATTCAACCTTTCCAAAGTAAAGCATCATTGACATAAGCAGTTCAGTCGGAGGCCATTTTAAGGATAGAAGCTTTGAGAATGAAAATATACGCAAGACCGGATTTGAGTAGTCAATATAACATCAGAGTATTTTGAAATTTTATACAAAATATAGTTTCAGACACTATGAAACAGATAACTCTCTCAAGTGAAAGTAGAACATAGAATGTATTTCGAAGCTGGATAACTATAATTTGAAGTACAAATAATATGTCCAGTTGAGTCCTAGATGTGAGAATATGCAAAAGATGAATTGTGTGCTTTCCGATATGTTTATGAACCCAGAATAAATGCATGAGTGAAAAGGGAAAAATAAAAACGCGATTTTATATATATATATATATATATATATATATATATATATATATATATGTTATATATATATATATATATATTACCCCTCATTTTACCAACGCAACATAGAAAAAGTAATTGCAATATTGGTCTGTAAGAAAAAACAACAGAAAATAGACATTCTAGCAAATCTGTCTTTCATGAAGCATTGTTGCATTTTTAACAATTTTTAAGATTTCGGTTTTAATGTATCTGTGTAATTTGTCACTCTGTACCAAATGAGATGAATTTTTCAGGTTCGTACGTCACACATACCACGGACGCTGACGGTAGTATTTTTATCGTCCATAACGTTTATTCAATCATTTTTTGAAAGGTATGATAAAGATGAATAAGCTTTACATGGAGAGAGATTATAGAACTAAACATAAAAACTGAAAATAAGTTTAATCACACATATAATACCAGGCTACTTTTACCTTCTACCAATCATACTCTTCTGTATGTCACCTGTTATATAATGTACAGAGCATAAGTTGCATCATTTGTAGATCACAGTGGCGGATTTAGGGGGGGGGCGCGCAGGGGGCGCGCGCCTCTCCCTAGACGTCTGATACCTGATTTTGTAATCTAATACCATTGTGTTCTGACATATCATGGTGACAGAGGCATACTAACCATAAGTTATAACTATAGTAACTGGGCATTGCGATCTTTTGGTATCCTTTGGTATTCCATTTGACATAACTTACGTTACAGCACAGTTCTTACGATTTATACGTATATACGAGTATTGTGACTTGTGTCAAATCTAAGTAATATATTAGCTATACAGATTGCACTTAAAAAGTGATTTATGTTCTGTTTGTGATATGAAAAGCATGTAAAGCTTGACTGATATTGTTCGAGGTTGGTTTTGCAGTGCTGGAAATTATGTTAGATTAATGCCTAAATTGGAAAGAGACATTTATGAGATTTGATTAACGGTGCGCCTGTGGCCTGTCCACAAAATGCGTCCACCGATGCTCCCGCATCTCTTCCCGCGCATGTGTCTGTTTATGTTGCTATAATGAATTCGTTTAAATCACAGAGCTTCTCTACCTCACGTGAATATGTGCAGCCCTGTATTCCTGTTCTTGATTCGTACAAACATACATTATCAAAATAATTACGATCTAACAGATATAGTTTTTCCCAAACATTTCCAACATTTTTACATGCGATCAAAATCGAAAACTGAGAAAACAACAACTATGCCGTAAATCCAAGTTCTGAAGAATAACTATAAGATCTATATTGAATTTCAAAAAATAATTGACTAAGTATACCTATTGATATTTTTATCACCTGCTGATATAGTAGAAGTGCTTTATTGTGTCATTATTTGCACCCATTACTTGATTTGTCTGACTAGTAGTCCCCGCTGCGCAACTTGTCTATAGGCAGTCTGGAGACGGTCTCAAGACACGATCTATAGATGGTCAATAGACATCCTTCTTTGTCTCGTCTAGTGTCCATACGATAATGGGAATTTTTCGGACCCATGTTCGTTTTCGCCATCAAAGACATTGTTTTGTGCGGAATGGACTGGGATATGTCTCGGGGTCCCTCAGAATGTTTTTTTTCTGTTAACAGAGCAATGAAGGTTTTTATGTTTTAATCTTTGATATTATTACACTAGTTAATTATAAATGCCACGTACTTATTTTCTTCTCATATAATAAAATATTGCCTTTCTGAGGATTTCTGAGCATTTTCATGTTTTTTTTTTCAAGCTGGCATTGACCAGATCGAATACAATGGATTTGAGGAGCAATAATAGGATAAATTCTAGAAGCTCCACCCAGGTTGAAAAAATACCAGTCCCAAATATCCTAAATCCGCCCTTGGTAGATCATCCATAAAACCACTAATAAGTTCATATTTATATAATAATCTGTTCTCCTGTGCAAATGTTGAAGTATGTTATTAAGTATTTGTATTTAATTTCCAGCACAACAACACAGTCCTCAACAGGAGGTACAGGTGGAACAGACCTCGCCAGACCTTCAGACTCAATGAGGACGTGGTATGATGACCTGAACTCTCCCCTCATCCAAGATCATGGAGATAACAAACAGCTCAAACTGAGATTCGACGTCAGCCAGTACGCTCCAGAAGAAATTGTCGTCAAAACTGTGGATAACAAACTACTAGTAAGTGTCGAACAGCTTTTTTTGTGTCAATTCAATAACATCCTTACATAAAGACTTGATATCCTTAGATGGGCAGATATGTACACAAATAACAAAAAATTGAATACAAAAAGAAACAATACTACAAATTCCATCTGTATGCGAGTCAAGAAACGTCTCAAATCATCTAGTAAAACGTCTGAAAGGATGACTGTTTTCGGCTGAGTTAAAAAGTTTTTCTCAGTTATTTATTGTGTTTCACTTTTATTCATGTTTATCAATTTTTGTAGGTCCACGCTAAACATGAAGAGAAGACAGAATCAAAATCTGTTTACAGAGAATACAACAGAGAATTCTTGCTGCCCAAGGGCACAAATCCAGAGCAAATCAAGAGCTCGCTGAGTAAAGATGGTGTCTTGACTGTTGAAGCTCCACTCCCAGCTATTGCTTCAGGAGAAAAACTGATTCCAATTCAGCATTAGGACAATAAGCCGATTCGTTTTTGTTTATTTTTTTCCATAATCTCTTAAATATTAGATTTGTTTTGACGTTGAAGCTTATTCCATAAAATTACCTTATTAATAAAATTATAAAGTACAACTGCAATGAAAACAGTTAAGACAAATGAATCGCTATTTCTTGATACGACTTGTCATAGTATTTCCCTATAAATGTATTAAAACTATGTGGAAACATGTTTAGATATTTTAAGTTTCTATAGAGATGTAGAACTGCAAAATTTTGACGTGTATGGCCTAAATGTACTTTATAAGTTTATTATTATTTGTTAGTCACTGTTATATGGAATTCACAAAGCAATTTCTTTTGCAATATTTGTTATTTTTAATATAAATTCTGCTAACTTTATGTTACTTTTTGTTTATTTTGGATGTTGCTATCTATACACATATACACACGAAACAGAGTAGAATACATATATTAAATTATATCTTTTTTGTAAGTTATTTATAAACAATACATGTATTTTTAAAAAGGTTGTGTATTATTTATTGTAAAGTCTACACTCACTCTGTATTACCGAGTATGGTTGTGTCATCGTGTATTTCTGCCATTACACTCGCGTACATTTTCAAGTTCAAATGAGTTTAAAAAGGTGATTTCAGTCTTCAAAAATATAAACGTGTGAATCCAAATTTATTCTGGGTGTCTTTATCGAACTCAGCTGTACAGTAGCTGAATTGTTTCTCCGAAAAACAGTTTCATTTCTACATGCCATAGCTGATGAGGTGGAGAATGACTGGTAGACATTTTCGATTTTATAAAAAATTTATTGTTTGCGTCGTTTCTATTTTACATAAATAATGATCAACTGAATTATGTACATGATTATATGAAAGCATCACCTATACAACACTAGCATCTATTGAATCACATCGACATGTGCAGTCTGATACTGGACATTCTTGATGTTCCCTAAAAAAACGTAAAAAAACTTTAAATTTTTTGACAATTTTAGAATCCATAATTGTAACATGGAACAACACTGTTTTTCATCCTACATATTTGTCTGACCATCAAGTGATACCACATATGTGACAAACATGGAGGACTATCAGCATAAAAACCACTGGATAAGTTTCAGGTGCAACAAAACCGTTTTTGGTTTACCAATTTTCGCTTCATGCATGCCACGTGTATTCAAGTTTCCTACACGATGATATTCCATTCTGGAAGACAATTTTGAAAACGAGAAACAGAATAACTGATAGATAGTGAGGGTTTTGTTCTCCGGGACATTCTCAGGAAAAAACGCGGAAGTCTCGCCGTCATCCGCCAGTTTCGTTTCTAAAGACGAAGTGTTAAGTTCCTGATGACATTTAACGATACGAGGAACAAGGAACATTATTTTGCCGAAAAAGGATGGATCTACAAACTTATTTAATAACGTCAAAATTTATCAGTACTGTAATAGAACACATTTTACTGGATATTCTACTCAATCGTTCTCGAGCAATGATCTAGATAAAATAAAAATGAGTAAAATGAGAAAATTCAATATGTCAGCAGTACAAATGAAAATTTTTTGGACGTGGGAAATCATTTTAACCGGGTAAATGTTCAACTTTATGAGCTATCCAAGTGGTATACTTACTCAAACCACTTGGAGAGATGCCCAGCATGTCCCCCATGTCTACAAGTCTGGCACCACGTGAACCAATTGTCGAAATCGTTAAACTTGGTTAGCTCCGATTCTGGAATTGTCGTTCCCATATGCATCAAGCATATTGCACATCTTGGGAGAGGTTTGCGACAATAAGGACAAGCAGTTAACTAAAAGAAAATTCGTACAAGTCACATTGTCATAGTTGAAATGGAAAAATACTGTGTATTCAGCTGATGAAATGAAAAGAGGTTATATGAAAAAAGTACAAACTAATAAATTAACAGGAGATTCGATTCTTTAGTATGTTCGTTCACCTGACAAGTCATATCCTAAGAAAAAATGGCGTCAAGTAGGTTGAGTCTGCACTTCCTGCGCAACGCCGTCATCAGTTCATAAAGTTCAGCGCAATTTAAACGCTCCGACAAAAAATAACATACATTCTTTCCCTGCCCTACCGATAGTTACCGTCCATCTGGCAACGCTGCCCTTACCATACTTGCACAACCGCTGCACCAAGTTATCCTTTTTTCTGTGTATACGTTTTGTGCGCTGGAGTACGGATAGAACAGTCAGCCATGTCGGTGCGGCGCACAGTGAGCTTAGGTAGGTAACGCCGATCGAAAAAATTATGATGATGCAAATATACGGGGGAGTTGTAGCTTTTGTCCGCAGCAGTCTTTCCTGCTCCAGGGATCTTTCTTTGGAATCAGACCGGAAGGACATTCTGTGGCTTCGCCTCAACTCCAAAACATCACCCAAATTTATTTGCTGCCTTTATCGCTCTCCCTCGAACCATAACTGGGATGACCTACTCGAATACTAAAGATCGACGTCCTGAACATCAATCACCCCGCTTCAGAGGTAGTTCTTCTCGGTGATTTCAATGCCCATAATGAGCTTTGGTTGAGCTCAAATAAGACCGATGCAGCAGGTCGTGCAGTCGAAGCGTTCGCTCTTACTCAAGGGCTGACCCAACTGGTGACGAGCCCTACTTTTTCCCCCGCGTCTCGTCACACGCCATTAGCCTGCTGGATCTCTTTCTGACCACGCATCCTGCCCCTTACAGCACTGCTGTCCTGTTCCCCCTGGGTAACTCAGATCACGGTGTTGTGGAGGTTAGGTTTCGGTCAGAAGCCGCTGTGGCAGCAGAAATTCGCACAGGCCGCAAAACTTGGCATTACGGACATGCCGACTGGGAGGGGCTCAGAGACTTCTTCTCTAGCTTTCCTTGGAGAGATATCTGTTTCACTGACGCGGATGCGTCGACTGTCTGTTCTTCAATAACCGAAATTATCCAAGTCGAAATGGAGGAATACATCCCTCACACAGTAAAAGTTCCTAAACCAGGGTCCAACGGCTGGTTCAACAAATCGTGTGACACTGCTCGCCAGCAGAAGATCAAGGCCCACAGAACCTACTTACAAAACCCCACTGTAGAGAACAGACAATCCGACGTCGAGTCCAGAAATAAATATAACGAAGCGGTTCGCAATGCCAAAAACCAGCATGATATAAAAGTTAGGCACAGGGTAATGTCGGAGCGCAAAGGCAGTCGGTCTTTCTGGACGCTGGCCAAGCAGATTGAAAAGAACTTCTCACACAGTAGCCTTCCACCACTTACGTGTCAGGATGGAACTATTGTATTCGACTCAAATGCCAAGGCGGAAGTGCTAGCCAAGATCTTTGCTGCCAACTCCACCATGGACGTCCCCACCAACGCCCAAGTGCCGTCAATTCAAAGGGTTCCCCACACTATGCGGGAGGTAACATTCAGGCATAAGACCGTAAGACGAGTGCTCTTGTCGCTCGACATCAACAAAGCTTCTGGTCCGGACTTGATTCCTGCCATTGTACTGAAGAGATGTGCAGCGGAGCTTGCTCCAGTTCTTTCGCGTCTCTTCCAGATATCTTATGAATCCGGCACCTTCCCAGAAAACTGGAAATTTGCTCATGTACAGCCCATCCCAAAAAAAGGATCTAAGACCGACCCTTACAACTACAGGCCTATGCTCTGCTTTCTGTTATAAGTAAAGTGATGGAGAGGTGCATAAATCGCGAGCTTCTGGACCACCTCGAACGTCACAGCTTGATTAGCGACAGGCAGTACGGTTTCCGGCACCAACGATCCACAGAGGACCTCCTAGCTTACGTCACGCAACTGTGGAGTACATTCATCCAGTCTCATGGTGAGGCTCATATCGTTGCTCTTGACATCACGAAAGCGTTCGATCAGCTGTGGCACGCTGCCCTCTTAAGCAAACTTCCATCCTACGGCCTCCCAGAAAAGCTTTGCAGATGGGTGGCTGACTTTATCTCTGGCCGCAAGATATCCGTCGTAATTGACGGATTCTCCTTTTCATCCCACAACGTCAACGCGGGTGTTCCCCAGGGATCGATCTTGGCTCCAACACTGTTTCTCTTACATATCAACGACCTCCTTTCCTGCACGATCAACCCAATCCACAGCTTCGCTGATGACAGCACTCTACATGCAGGAATTCAGAGTGACAAGCCCATCTCTGCTGCTGAGCTGGAAAAAAGAAAACTAGCGACGACTTCTTCTCTGACAAGAGACCTGGAGGCTATCACTGCTTGGGGACGCAACAATCTTGTACAGTTCAATGCTTCCAAAACACAGTACTGTACTTTGACGAACAAAAAGCGTCCTAGCGCTCATACAGTTTCGATGGACGGTCGAGTTCTACCAAAGAGCCATTCATTTCGGCCGAGGACCTGATCTGGCACGAACACATCTCTTCAATAGCTGCAGCTGCTGGGAAAAAGCTAGGCTATTTGTTTAGGGCCAAGAAGTACTTTTCTCCGCATGACCTTCTCACTCTATACAAGGCCCAGATAAGGCCTAGCCTCGAGTATTGCTCACACATTTGGGGTGCTGCCGCCCCGACTACATTGTCCATGCTCGATGCTGTCCAGAGGAGGGCGGTCCGACTGATCGATGCCTCTTCTCTAACAGATAGTCTCGGGACTCTTTCGCACCGGCGGGTCGTCGGCGATCTAGCTCTTTTCTCTCGCTACACCAACGGGCTTTGCTCCTCAGAGCTCTCTTCCATGCTGCCGCCGCGCGATGTGCCTGCCAGACAGACCCGCCTGACTTCGGCGTCCCATCCTAACCGTGTCAAACTTCGTACATCCAGAACTGGCCGATACGACCGCTACTTTGTCCCGAGGGTGTCTAGATTGTGGAACAATCTACGGGCGGAAGCTTTTCCCAGTTCTACTAACCTTAGGCAGTTCAAAAATCGTATTAACAAAATTTCTTTGGGATCATCATAGCAGCCGCGGTGTTCCGGCATTTAGGCTTCTGCCTGCGCGGCTGTTTCGATATAAAAAAAAAATACGGGGAAATCTATGATGTGTGAAATATGTCTAATTGGTACATATAATTACGGGGTTGACAGCGTATAAGTATACTAACACCAAACATGTTTGATATACTTCTACTCCACCCCGCACTATCTCCTGTTTTTAAGCACTACAAAAAAAACAGACCGACGGAAAGGAGTGACATGTTTTTCGTGATGTAACATACAAGTTATATGATAACCAAAAAACCATTTATTTTTGAAACTTTTCGCGATTACAATGTTTCCTCGGAGTAAAATGGGAGGTAAGTTCAGAGCTAATGAAACACCTATTAAAATAAGCTTTACTGAATGCCAACCTCTGGGTTTTGGTGTTATGACAGTCATCAGGAAAATATTTTGTCGGTACGCATTAACAAAATAAGTTGTTACTATTATAAATAAAAACCGATCTCACATGCTTTTTCCATTAATAAACAGGAATAAAGTAAAATATGACCTAAATTATTAGTGATTCATCATACCTTGATCGTTATTCCGGATTTTGTTTGTGCTTTAAGCTCCATATTTTCATGTATATAAGCCGAAATACTTTTCCCGCAAAAATTACATGCGACATGAACTTGAGGTTGTGGTTTTTTGTCTGGTCTGAAACTGGCTAACATTATGTCAAAGTCTGCCCTTTCACTATATAACCTCCAGTGGTTTAACAGTTCCCTGTAGCTGGAAATTATATCAACATAATCAAATAATTGCAACACAGTTTGAAAAACACTGTTTTTAGTAAACCAGTTTTACTTCATTTTCAGCATTGATTTTCAAAAACAGAATGTTGTATAACTCTGTTAAGGTTTTCAGAGATGTCGTTATCTTTAAAATATAAGCTAAATAGTCGAGTGAATACAAAAAACATAAATATTAATGAACCATAATCTTCGTACAAAAATAAACTCGAATAAGTATATTTTAATTCTGACAAACACTGATTTTATGCATGGTATTGCACATATTGCCAGTTATATAAAAGATATAAATAAAATTGTGATTAATTAAACGACAGTACGCAACTGCTAATAACCTGTCATGGAATGTGAAGTAGCTGCATAAAGGTCTGCAGTAAGTGGAAAAGGTTTTCACTATGTACACCCCTGATACCACACTTTGTATGGAACTGTTGCTCATATTCCTCTCAACAATATATCAGAATTTTAGGTAGTAAAAAATATGAAAACTCACTTTGCAAACCAATGTTTGACCATTTCCGAATCTAAATGTGCATGAAATGCTCGCATAGCTATGAGAGCCGTTGATTGAATATCGGCAGTATTATTCAAATACCTCTGGAGAAGTTTCAACCCATCTGAACTATTCCCTATAAAAGAAAAAACAGTTTACTCATGTGAAACTATTCTTTCACGCAAATCTGACTATCGCCACCTACCAGTAGATCGCTAAGCTCATTTTCATCATCATCCAGTACGATATACAAACCTTTACGTTCTCACACTTAGCGCAGAATGTGCAGTTGTGAGCTAGAGAACGTAAGGGTCTCTCTATCGTCTCCACCTCATGATATTATTACTCGGGAAGATAAACCCATGCGCATGCTATCAGTCTATCTGTGACGTCACTCGGTGACAAAATTCCCCAGAGACGGGTGACAAACGTTCAGTTTTATAATATGGCGCTTTAGCAGGTAATTTGTGTTTAGTTTTATTAGTTTGTTCTCTGGTGTGTGAAACTATAATTGGAATTGAACATTTAAGTATGGTGCACCGTGAATTCGGCATTAACAACAAGGAAAGCAGAGACGTTTCGAATTGGCGTTTCTTCAGTTTTCTAAAGGACAAACAAGTTTGCAAACAATGGGTTCTGAAGTGTTATCAGCCACACAAATATGTAAAAACTGAAAGAATTATTCCGAAACATGGTGTGGAAAGCGACAATGATATCAGGAGGCTACTTTGATATAGTCGAAATCACGAAAGATGACGATTACGTCATCATTTTAGTCTGTAGTAAAGACAAATGACAGCGATTTGTGAATATTTTTAATGAATTTTTTCATATGTTAGACAGAGACAAACAGAATTTTATTGTCTAAACAAACTGTATTGCTAATTTGCGTATATCCGACAAAGATAGACGATGTTTTCATGTTGCATGATCGATCATATTTGAAAGATGAATAGTTAGGTTATGTTAAAGTAGGTTAGGTTGTTTTCGAATAACACTTCGATCTTTAGTGTTTCTGTCTTAAGGTGTTCTACTCATAAATGTTTTTTTCAAAACAAAAACTTCCCCCTAAAATTATTATTAAATAGAATGAAAATAAAAATAATCAGTGAAATAACCTAACTTCGCAAAATCATAATATAAATTTGTTGTCATTATGTTCCTGACATCGTGATTTTATCATCTACGTACGTCCATTGATTACTTCAGTACCTACAATTTATGGTATGACGTAACAGTCATCTTTCGTAATTTTGACATTAGCTTTACCTCAGACTTCTCTGTCCCTTAAACGACGTCAGGCAACGGCGACGCATGAGCAGTAGCAGTTTGCTTATATTAGAGATCTACTGTTTTCAGAATTCGACAGACTGGTGCACATGGCGTGCGGATTTCATTTACTGTTGAAAACTCTTAATGCCGAAAGGTAAGTGAATCAAGTTTATTTTTTATCAGTTTCATGTGAAGGATGCATCTCTCAAGTAACCATTATCTATTGACTTGAGGTTATGTTTGATACACGCTATGCGATCTCGCAATTTTGATAAGCATGGGGCGATATTGATAGTGTTGGTGGTGCGAATTTAGGAGATATCAATGTCGCCCCACGCTTTGTTTTTGGTCCTGTTTTTGCTTTGATATCCATTGATATTACAATTTTTTCAGATGGTTCGAAAATATCTCCCAAAACCTGGAAGCCGGCAATATATGGATTATACCGAGACACGAAAGAATGAAGCATTGGAGAAAATTTACGATGGGGCAATTTCAATGCTAGCTGCAAGTATGCAGTATAAAATCCCATACGGCATACTACATAACAAATATCATGGGAAACATGGTTGAAATGTAGAAGGCCAACCCGTTTTCACCCAAAACGAAGAAAAGGCTATATTGAACGCTGCTCTCCAGTCTGCGGATTGGGGTTTTCCATTAGACACCTTAGAAATAAGGATGTGGGCGAAACGCTATCTAGACGCTAAGGGTCGTGAGATGGGAAGGGTCCACAGCAATCTCCTAGGAAAAGATTGGGCTTTGAGCCTACTTCAACGACACAAAGGCATTGCTGCACAACGAGTATCAAGAAATATCAATAAAATGCCATCAGGGCACGAATCTCCAAACAATCTTTGAGGGAATATTTCGAAAATTTAGAGAAAACTCTAGAAGGTGTACCGGCAAGTAACATATTTAATTATGACGAAACTAATGTTGGGGACAATCCCGGTAGTCGCAGACTGGTTTATCGACGTGGAGTTAAATACCCTGACAATGTCATGAATCATTCTAAAAGTGCTACCACTATAATGACATGTGGTTCTGCAGATGGAACCCTATTACCGCCTTACGTCATCTATAAAAGCGAGCATTTGTATAATACCTGGAAAGAGGGCAGCGTTAAAGGTTCACCTTGTTGCACAAACCCATGCTGTTCGAAAGGGTGTAGGTTTAATCGTAAATCGCATGGTTGGATGGATAGCTGTACCTTTGAAGATTGGTTTGGCACGTCATTTCTTCCACATCCTAAGCGTTTTTCGGGGAAAAAAGTCCTAATCGAGGATAACTTATCAAGTCGATTTAATGAGCAAGTATTACAATTATGCCAGGAGAATCAAATTGACTTTGTCTGTCTTGTGCCACATTCCACGCATATATGCCAGCCATTAGATGCAGGATTTTTTAAACCGTTCAAAACTGCCCGGGGCAATGCACCTAAAGACGTATTTCCGTCATTATTAAAGTCTGCCCATGGAGAAAATGGACAACGTTGATTCGCAAAGTAGTACAAAGCCAGGTGATCATGAAAACGGCGTGAAACGGAATCTAGTAAATGGATTTTACGCCACAGGTATATATCCCTTGAATCGCTCGAAAGTTTTGGATAAAATTCCAGACGTTGGATATGATCCTGCGAAAGAAGTGAGTAATTCCCTCGTCGAGTCGTTGAGAGAAAAGAGATTTGGAAATAATGCTGAGAGACGTTATAAAAGAGGACTAGATTATATGTAGATATTGTACCTGGAAGAAGTGTCGCCGTAAAGGACAGCAGTTCAGACAATTACGATAACGACGCCGTACAGGAAAATTCATATAGTGCTAGTGACACCAAAGAGGTAGAATATATCAGCCCTGAACCCAACTTGATGATAGCTGGGACATATATATTGGCTGAATTCCTAAATGGAAAATGAAACCCCACTGAATACAGATACGTATGCAGAATCAGAGAGAGGTTTTCTTCCAACGAGATTACATTCGTTGGCATAAAATCATTAGATTCTAGCTATTCTAAGTTTCATGTTATTGCAATACTACCTACACCAGGTGGAGGTTCGCAGAACAATGAAATTCACTTCCAGAAAAAGGTGGAAGTTAGAGAATTTAGACAATAAGTTGGAATTGTACTTTATATTTCCTTTGATAGTATGGAGTATTCCGTGTCTTAAATCATTTTCTTTTCAATAAATACGTCTTGAGTATCTATGTGTTGTTGTGGTTACTGGATGTACTAAAGTCAGCCACCATGGCAAGGTCGCCCCCAACAGTTTTCGATGTATAGCTTGTGATCTACATGGGGAAAAATAAAATGGGGCGAGATTCATGATTTTAGAGATAATCTATGTAATTTAAACCTACTTTTGCATGGTATCTCGAAGTAGCCCCACATCGAGTATAAATTTGATATGCTCCTTTTTTTAATTTTTGGTACCAAATTTTCAAATATTTCAAATAATTTCTACATTATCTTTCTCTATGGATTATACACTATATTTATAGATATCTTTTATAAAGTAAACAGTAATAGTTAATTTTTATGCAGAAAACAATTCCCAAAATTATCAATCTCGCCCCACTTTACGGTACCTCATAAATAAAAGCAATGCAGTACCTTCTCTTCATTTGTAAGAATTATCAAGGGCACATAATCTCGCAGTGCACGACTGAAAAAAGGATAAATAACATTTTATAGAAACTTATGAAGGTGTCGAATATACAGTATTTTGTCCTCGATTCTTTTTCTGTAAACATTTATATAACAAATTAATATATGCTACTGATGCGCAAATGTATTATTTGAAATTAATTTGTTTCGATAAAAAAAAAGTCTAAAGAGAGTTCCACCAAGTAAAGTATTAGTTTAAAAAGCTACAGGCGCGTTTTCACTAACTATTCAGACTCTTAAAACTCGTCTGTTATTCATTTTTCAAAAGTGATGACTTTATAAAGGAAATTGATTGTATCTATGATGATACTTCATTAAATTCTATTGGCAGAGACATCAAAATATATATATATATAACTGACTGATTTAAATTGCCCGCCATTTCAGTAGGCGGCGCCGTAGTAGTTGTTTAAAGCACATGTGTCCAATTCATCATGGAGCGCTACACCATCCCACAACGCGTCCGTATTGTTAAAACGTTTTACTTGAATAACGAGTCGATTGTTGCAACGATTCGAAAGTTACGACAAGATTTCGGTCGAAATCATGTGCACAGTGTCCACACCATTAAGTCAGTTGGTGTGGAAATTTGAACGAATAGGTGAAGTTGAAGACTTGCCCAGGTCGGGCCGTGTTCGAACTGTTCGTATCGAGAGAGTTCGTGAAACTATAGTGAGCGCCCTGAGACGTCTACTAGACATCGTTCTCAAGAACTGGGTATTCGACACACGTCATTATGCACTATTTTAAAAAAAGACTTGCATTTGCGGTCATACAAAATTCAGTTAACCCAAGAACTACAGCCTAGTGACCATGAAAGTCGCCGACACTACAGTCATGCAATATTGCAGCTTAATACCCAAAATAACGATTTTTACCGACAACTGATAATGAGTGATGAAGCCCTCTTTGATATGATCGCATTTGATAATAAGCAGAATTGTCATATCTGTGTCATCCATTAATGACCACTACATCCTCGCCGAGTCACAGTTTGGTATGGAGGTATCATTGGACCTTACTTCTTTGAAGACGCTACGGGTAATTCTCATACTATCACTGACGAGCGCTATCGCTATATGGTGCAAAACTTTCTGGCTCCTCAAATTCAACAATTTAACCTGCAAAACATGTGGTTCCAGCAGGACAGAGCAACTTGTCACGCAGCTAGGGAAACAATGAATCTTTTGCAAACAATATTTCGGGGACGTTTTTGGTGATGTCAACTGGCCTCCGAGGTCATCGGAATTAACAGCTCCTGACTTTTCATGGGGATTTTTGAAAAATAGGGCCAACAAACCAAATACTGTAGAGCTGGTGACGAACAATATTACGGAAGCGATTGAAATTATGCCTCCCGAAACCTACCAAAAAATGATGGAAAGTGTAATCAAGAGGGCTCAGGATTGCGCGGCTTCTAGAGGCAGACATTTGTCTGATATTATTTTTCATACATAATTTTTGAGTTTCAATAAAATATCAAGATTAAAAAAATGGACGTATTTTATTTCATTTCACAATTATTCAAGATTTAAACCCGTCAGTTACATATCGGTCACACTGTATAAATATATAATACTAAAATGATCATTCATAGTCGATATAACAAAAAAATAAGCAAACATTACAAATGTTGAGAAGAAAACGACAAGCAAGAAGCTGTCACCTATTGACGTCATGCGCAACGGCGCATGAAGTTCGTTCTCGGATTGAGCCTACCTTCTCGAATTATAATATCATGTCTTCATTGTATGCGATACAGAGAAAAATCAGCCTGGCGAACCATTCGTAGGTGGCGATCATCAGATTTTCACCTACTTGCGCACAACATTTTTAGGTTTTCAGTACCTACTTGTTTGCATCCCGTTCCATCTGTCTCCAAGGCTAGACCTAAGACCTATACCGCACTGGTGAGTTGCTAATGAACACGAAACAATGATGTCTACGGTTGGTCATGGTTACAGGAGACGGAAAGCAAACATGTCCGTTTCAAAACTGTTCTTGCTTAAAATATGAAAAATGTTTCAGGTTTGGTCAGCTCAAATACCTGTAACTAGTAGCCCATCAAGGTTTCCATCTTTACACAACTCTTCCAGCAAAGTTTGCATATACTCTTTTAATTGGTTATCTGGTAAATATAAACACGCTAAAGCTACTCTGTCGTCCACAGCCACTTCTTTTTCATTCTAAAAAAATAATAAATGAGAAAATGGTTTAAACTAGATCATTTTAATAAACACACGTTGATGCTCTACATCGATTTTAAAATAAAACATCCTCTTTTTATGCTCCATAGCAATCATTTTTAAGTGTTAATAACTTACCAAAACGTTACTATAGTCATAATTTTCTGCCGTCAAAAAACAAAACATGGCCTTCAAATACGGATCTTTCACCCTAGGTATGCACGCAATACTGTTTTGCCTCCATACACTATTAGGGTCATCCGAAAATCCTGAAAGAGCCATAGCAACCACATTTAAACTCGAGCCATATTCAGAATTATCAGGAGCCCTTAAACACAGAACAGTCGTTTATGTAACGGAACCTTGAAAAATAAATAATAGATAGATAGATAGATAGTTTAAAGACTTGTCAATATCAATTTGAGGGTCATATATGCGTTTGAGCAAATATGCCGGAAAAATACTTATGATTATGAAATAAATAAAGACATTACAATTACAAAACATTTCAACAGGTTAAATCACATTATAGGTACAGCGCAAGAATCGTAATGTGTTCAATCTGTAACAGTAAAAATATATACATATACAGCGACTTTTTTTATCACAAAAAATGTTCGTCTAGCCGGTGAAAATCATTGAAGCTGATACAAAGAGAAGCGGTAGGAGAATCTGTTACAAATACATAATATATAAACACAATAAACATCGAGCAGTGAGGACAAATGGTTAAAAGCTTAAAAATAAATCATCCATACTTTCGTTAAAAGTCGAATAAAAAGTGAAATGAATATACATTTACTCCACGATAATAGACAATTCACTGATAACGAATGATTAACAGCTTAAAAGATTTAAAAAACAGATACTTTCATGTGTTAATAAAACTCATGTAGAGAGTAAAAGCATTTTTCAACCAGATATTTCCTGAGATGGTTTTTCAGCGCAAGGATATTAGTGCGTCTCCACAACTCACTCGGCAGATTATTGTATACCTTAGTGCACGCTAGAGTTGGAGATTTTTGGAATAGGGCAGAGTTATGTGTCGGTATACTCAGATCATTAATGGCGTTGTTACGAACAAATCTATTGCTATGTTCAAATGCGAAGATGGCACATTTGTAGATATAGATGGAAGTTAATGTAAGCAGATTATAGCGTCTAAATATTTCTTTACAAGAGTCCCTCTTATTGATATTAAAAATTAATCGAAGTACTCTTTTCTGCAGGATGAATAATCTGTTAATCATTGTTGCCTGTTCCCATATGATTATATTGTTAGTGAGGTGAGAATAAACTAGCGCGTAATATACTAAGTGACATATAAATCCGAACACCCAGTTTAAATGGTTTTACTTTAATAAAAGTTGGTGAATGTATTTATCTTACTGTAAATAACAAGTGAAAAAATTTTCAGCCTCATCAGTTGGACATTCCGGTTTTTATACTGCTTTTTTTTAATTCACTAACGCTCTAAAAATGAATATTTCAGCCGCAGTAAAGAATCAAGGTTGGCGGATTTTGGTTCTTGACATCCTTTACGATCGGTTACGATGCCTAGAGTACGGAGACCTGTACGATTTCGTAAACTTAGTGAGTTTGATAGGGGCCGTATAGTGGAACTTCGGGAAGCTGGACTTTCTTTTCGGGCAATTGCAGTTAGAGTGCAAAGAAGTGTAGACACTGTGGTTAGGTGTTGTCAGGCATGGCTTCGAGAAGGCCGTACGCAAAGAGCAAGGGGCACTGGACGCCGCCGTAGAACAACAGACCGTGAAGATCGCCGCCTAAGATTATTGGCCTTAAGGGACCGTTTCTCCACTACCAGGTCCATTGCAAATGAATGGTTTGCAGAACACGGAAGACCTATTGGCATGCGAAGTGTTTACCGACGAATGAGAAGTTTTGGCTTGTTTTCATACCGACCACACTGGGTCCTCCCTTTAACTCGAGAACACCGACGTAATCGCCTTGAGTGGTGCAGACAACGGTCACTCTGGGATCAAGAATGGAACAGTATTGTCTTTAGTGACAAGTCTCGATTTTGTTTAGGCATGCACGATGGTCGTACCAGGGTTAGAAGGCGACGTGGTGAAAGAAGGAATCCACAGTTTTTTGTTGAAAGACATGTTCATCACACTGTTGGAGTTATGGTTTGGGGTGCTATAGCTTATGGTTCCAGGTCACCTTTAATCTTCATCAGAGGTAACACGAAAGCGCAGCGTTATATCCACGAAGTTCTAGAACCCCATCTTTTACCCTATCTTGACACCCTGGCAGATCCAACTTTCCAACAAGATAATGCAAGACCACATGTTGCAAGAGTCACAATAAACTTCTTTCAACATAATGATGTCACATTGTTACCATGGCCACCAAGATCTCCCGACTTATCCAAAATTGAGCACGTGTGGGATATGATGGGTAGGAGATTGCTCAATTTGCAACGTCCTCCTCAGACTATAGAAGCACTTCGAGAGGAGTTGGTGGTTGCCTGGAATGAGATACCACAGGAGGACATTGACCATCTGATCAGAAGCATGCCTAAAGGTCAAAGGGCTTTAAAGCAGTGCAATCATTTTGAAATTTTTATCGTTTACTTATTATGCTTCATTAAGTACTTATACAAAATTTTATTAAAATAAAACCATTTAAACTGGGTGTTCGGATTTATATGTCACTTAGTATACATATCTAAGAGTGAGTTTAGATGGATGTTAGGCTTTAATTTCAATATTGCAAAATAAGCACTGTTAATTTTGTTGCAAATATGATTTATTTGTGGTTGCCAGCTTAACTTACTATCAACATGAGTTCCTAAGAAGACAGTTTGATCTGAAAAGCTATCAATATCCATGCGTGGTTTCTTGTTGAAGAAATCAATTTCAACAGTCTTATCTTCATTCAAAATGAGGCGGTTAGACTGGCACCACTCGCTCATTTCACTTTTGACTTTCTTAATAGATTCGAGAAGATCCTGCGGTGTCGTGGCACTGACGACGATAGATGTGTCATCCGCATAATTAATCATGAAGCCAGACAATTTCAAATCATTTATGTATACAATAAAGAGCAGTGGTGCAAGTACTGAGCCTTGTGCCGCACCTATATTCACGGAATATTGAGTTGACGTATGACCAGCGTTCGAAATTAAAAATACTACATACGATCTTAACGATAACCTTATTGTACATTTGTCAGTGATTCACGTGTAATAAATATCACGCAATGACTCCATCATCTAGCTGAATGAAACACATACAACTTTCCATTTCTATGCAGTATGTTGCTACAATAGGTTGAACAGCTCTGTAGTATACTAAGATCGCGCGAAGTCAACATTACAGTTAAATGGTACAGTGTAAAACCAGAAAAGTTCAGGATCGCCTGGGGTCGGCGTTTTCGCTCCCAAAATGACGTCCAGCCCTCCAAGGCGACAAGCGAGCAGGAATTACATTATATATTAGAATATAGGTTAGCAAAAGTATAGAAAATGAATGTTAGGTAAAGTGTTGGTTACCTTGTCAGTATGTCAATAGCTAAGGGTAGCTTCAAATTAAATATCGCCACAGCAGCCGCTCTCGTGTATGCTCCTGATTTCTCCAGTAAGTTCAAAAAATCCAGCAACACTGGAGAATTACGATCTACAGGCCAACTGCATAACTGTAGTGCCTTATCCCTATCATCATGTCTGCAAGATGAATATTTCAAAAATGATAAAAAATATGATCAGTGGAAAAACTCAATAATTCTCACTCAAAGTGGCGTATACGTGTATAGCAGACACTTAATAGCTATTAAGAGAGTAAATATCAAAAACATGGTTTGTCATACTCCTCATTCGTTAAAGTGTATATACAGAGAAATCCATATACCACTGACGTCGTAATACCTATGTACGAGAGAGAAGCGCGAGAAGCGTGCAATATGTATGTTAGAAAGAGAAAGAAGCACTACGTTGCCTAGCAACCCGAGTAACGAGGCCATGGACGCAACTGCGGCTTGCGCCATCGGCCTCTTTCTAACATAGGTATTGCACGCTTCTGGCACTTCTCTCTCGTACACATTACCTCTTCAGTGATATTTGAATTTCTCTGTATAGTAATCTATTGCTAGTTGCTAAAACAGAAGCGTTAATGGCTAATCAGCCAATTTCACATAAAGAATCTAAGTAGTAGTAGTAGTTGTAGTTACTCCCAAAATGTACAACAAAAAATTAAATCAATCAGGTAATCAAAAAGAGATCAAAATGCGTCGTACAAGTAGAGATCGACCGATATAAGATTTTCGCCCAATACCGATACATTAGAAGCCGATATGTCGACCTATTGGCTGTTCGTTGCTTTCTGTACTCGATCGGGTGTATCTTTCTTCGGGTGAGGTCGTGGGCCACGAGCAAGTCTATTGAATGCTACACAACCTACAACGTATTGTTGACAACTAACCTACGCGTAAATGTATGCATGACAAGTATAAAGTAACAACTAAAAACTTATCCTGAGGTTCTCACGTTGATTATACTCAATTGTACTTTGGCCGAATCAATCCACAAGATTTAAGTTGTTCTTCAAGAATAACTCACACTTTTTAGACAATATATTTTATTTATCTGTATACCAGATGACAGTTCGTTTGTTTTTACATTTTCAGATTCCTATACCTTATTTTACTACAATAGTGTGCTGATATTGCGCGAAACCATCATTCCCAAAAAGAGGTTATCTGCCGCTTTTAATGTACCAGACACGTTACCCTCGTCCATCGTCCCGAAAAAGCCAAATGACCCCAAAATCCCACCCAGAACTGTTGTCATAACACACTGGTCAATTGTTATGCTATCGTCTACTAAAATGATGCATCTGCATTATTTATGGATCTGAAATGCGAGAAATAGGGAATCATGTTGTTTGTCTTATAAGGCACTAAGGCACAACAGTTTGGTCTTGAGGTGGCGGAGTAAAGCATCTGCGCATTTGGGATCCAGTAGCAAACCATAATAAAAAGCCTGGATAAAAGACATATGGTTCATTAGTTCGGTTGGAGAATATCAATTAGATATTTCTTTCTACTATACTTGCAGACATTTTTGGCGCATCGACGGTACAAATGGACTTGAACAGAGCACAATAAATATAACTCGCTTTTGGCTACTTTCGTTTTGATGCAACGTCTGGTGTGAACTTACTGTTAAGATCGAAATATAAAAATAGAATTCCAGAGGCCTTCAGAGACTTGTAGAAGGGATAGGATGGAAAATTAAACATGTTCACCTTCATGTATGCAAGTCAGAACGTCTATATATTTGATCTGTTTCGGCTGTATAAAGTTCACTACTTTACGAAAAGTTGAAAACAAGGAAAACTAGAGCTGTCTATGAATATTTCGACAAAGTTACTAGTCAAAAGACTGACGAAATCGATAGTGTATCCTATCTAAAAAAGATTTCTTTGGAGAGAATGGGAAACATCTTATATATGAAGTATCACATTTCACAGAGACAAGTATACCAAAAAGCAATCATTGTACGCTTCACGTAAAACTGAAGACTTGAAATGACTGTTGAGTTTCGTTTTATTATAAAAGATGGTACCTTAATAATACAATTAAAATATTTTTTCTATATGCATTGTGTTGCGTTATTTTTCAATTCAATAATTTTTAACATATTAACTTACCCGACAATGTCGACAACATAAGCTGATATTACCGATATACAAATCGATGTCGCTCGTTCCTACATACAAGTAAAGAAGAAAAATAAAATCTTACCTATAATACCTCGCAGAACCTTGGCAATTTGGGTAACCTAAATCACTCCAAGGAATAATAACTTCCTCAGATTTGTTATCTTCAGGGTCAATTTTGGAAAGAATATAAGCAATACCAGGATGTTTATAATGAGAATCCCTCAAAACACCATCTTGTGACAACTTTTCGGTAAGATGCAGCCAATTCCAGACATTTGCTAACGTCATATTGTCCTTTACTAAATCGGAGTTCTTCTGGAGATTTTCCTGCAGAAAAAAAATAATGTTCCTTAATTATGGGAAAAACAAGTTATTAATGCAGTAGTTAATAAGGATAATATTTACCTGAAGACCATATCTTTGCATCGCTCTTTTCTTAAATTGATTTGACAGGTCTTCAAAAAAGGAATCGTCGATATACTTCAGAAACTTTGGACCATGTGACCATACAATTTGTGACCTTGCTGACCAGTTTATTGATGTTCTGTCAATTACCCTGTAGTCTTTAATTGTACCTTAGAAAAAGAAGGATACCAGTTACATGACAGGGTGGAATGGCTCGAACTCAGAAAGCAAAATTAGTTATTCAGTAATGATAAAAATTAAGTTCTATTTTTTTTTCAAATTCTACGTGAATTAAAAAATCAAGAATCAGGAAACTCATTTTTGAGATTATAAAAATAATATATTTCACAAGGTAATATGAAATCAAGTGTTATTAAACTCTGAAGTTTTATTTACCTGACAAAGCTATTGTGAGTAACCTATTGTAATCAATTGGATGCCATGAGAATGACGTAATGTTATGTGGCGAACCAGGATTTATAACTCTTTCCAAAACTGTTGGCTCTGCTTCTTCAGATGACGATGTATGTTGGATATCAAAAATGTCAAGAACAGAACTGTCTTTTTGCAGTGAAGCCAAGGCACTTTGTCTATAAAAAACTGTTATCATACTCTCTGACTAATAATATATTCATATTTAATGTGAGACATTTTAATGCTTATAAAAACATGTAATCAAACACCTTGCAAGTTGCATGCAACTTTGCCTTGACTGTGAGCTTACAGTGATTTTCAACCGCGGTAAAGCGCCAGCTTGAAATATTGGAATGTTTCTTTAATTGGGGATCATAAGATACCTCATTTTAAGCTCCTTGTAAATACTTTATTACTCTATAATATAAAATGAGTATCATTCAGAATAATGTACTGACATGCTGTCAAAATTGAGCGCTCTCGTACATTGAATTGCTTATAATTCAACAACAAATAACCAAACTATGTCATGTTATATCAATCTTCATTTCTTGGAAGGATCTATCTGGATATGTAATAAAAAACTTGAACAATCTATTTAAAAACATGTCATAACCTGCAAGTGTTTTTAAATTAAACGTCCCATATATTATCGCACAGTGAAATAGACTCTTCCAAAACGAGACTATACTGCTTTGATGATAGTTGTTGAGTTACAACTGATTCAATATACAAAAAACTCAATTCTCACAGCCTACCAGTCCGCCATTTTGACAGATAGGAAATTGATACGTTTCGGTCATAAAATACTAATAAGGTTCAGAATGAGTTATCGCATGACTCCCCACTCCATTTAAAAATGTGGTCCAGCCGCCATCTTGGAATATTCAACTAACACTTTTATCTTACAAAATAACTAACTGACCCATTTAAAAAATAAGTGGAGAAGGGGTACCTTTTTTAAAAGCACTGTATATAAGAGATATGTTATTGTTATCACTTTTCAATGCCACATGAAAAACTTGTTATGGAGCAACGAAGCAAACATTTAAAATAAAGGAGCATATTACGTCAGATCTAATCAAATGATGCAAATATGTAAGCTCACTTTGTTGGGCACCACGCGATCTGTACAACTCCTTTTCCTGGCGGTAATAGGCATATTGGTTTCTCGAAGTTTCGTATATCCCAAAGACAGATTTGGGTATCATAAAATGAAGCTAAATATCTGTCATTATTTGGATTAGTGCATACTCCATACACTCCTTTTGTAAACGTTGAGTTGATCATTTTATTGGGATCTAGAACATATAAACATTATCCGGATGGAATACATCATAAAATGTACATTTTCGAATAAATTTACCTCTAAGATCATAGACCTTAATTTGCTTGCCGTTCATACCAGCAGCCATTACTCTTGGAGAGCCTCTAAACCATGCCAAACTGTGTGCAGTCTCTGATGTACCAAATTCGTGTGTTGGTTTTGCTACCTACATAAAATTAACAGATGTACCTGTTCTCTGCTTGTTCGAAGTGACAGAGACATATGCTTTGTAAAATTCATAGTTGCATTGTTGTTGCAAGCATTGTTGTTGATGTAACATTCAGATTTTTGGATTTTCCGAGCAGAAAAACAAAATGATTGTTTGAGCTTATACAGGGTGCGCTAACCTTTCAAGAACTGCAGGGGTATTACGTATCTTGAAAGGTGACATATGTCGGTTTTTTACATTATAGAGGTTTTTTGTGACATTAAGTTTTCCTATAAGATGTCAACTTGGAAGTAGCTGTGGTTCACTTGATGTGTACCCGTTGCTTAGCTGTATGTGTTGCCTAAACGTCATGATGCTTGGGCTATCATGGTTTGGATCTGATGAGATGTAATCTGCTACAGGGATGGCATTATTGGAGGTCTAAGCTGTAAGATGTATACTACGAGTATAGCGGGAAGGAAAAGGCAGTGCATAGACGCATAATGAGTATTTGTGTGCTAATAATCTGTGTGTATGATAATTCCATTGGTTTCTTGTCTCAAATACACGTACATGAGATGTACGCAAATCTAGGAAAGAGTTGCACATCCACTTTTTCTCAATTATCCTGCAATTTACATAGCCAAAATTTGATACATTTAAAAAATGAGAGAGATCAAAGAAAATCCTTGGTTGATGGAGAATGTTACAACCAACAGGTGAGAAAATATGCCACAGAACATTTAACGTGAAAAAGTTATTACATTTACATTAAATTTTATTTCCACTCATTTAAATATCATAGAAATTTATTTTATGATAGAAAATACAAATCAGCGCCTAGATGTCAGGCAGTGAGGCACTGCGAAAAACGGGGAAAATCATAATTTATAACTTGGAACATTTCTCTTCAGAAAGGACAACACATAAATAACCCAACTGACACAGCTAATAGATATACTCCATGGGCAGCATATTCAGAAATAATTTTCTCACATAGCAAGTATTACATATTTTATACACGTGCAGACCAATACACACAATCATCGAAATGCGATCTTGCTACTCAACCAATTTTCTTTCTGTCACATCTTCTCAGAGATACATACACTCTAAAGACTATCTCTGCATTCTGCATCCAACAAAGCATGCTGGCGAACTGATTTGCAGCATGGTTGTTGAGCATGTGGTTGTAATTCCTCCAATGCAAGCAAAAGCGGAATGAACTATTTGTACACTAGCAGCTATCTAGTCAGCAAGTTGAAGTTTTGTCTTTTTTTGAAATCATATCGTTTTTTTAATTAATACCTAACCATGCAGATAATACATCGCATGTGAATCATAATATTATGTGAATGTACCTTAGTACAGAATCTAACTGTTTTTGACATACGCGAAATTTTGTGAAATCCAATGATAAAGTCAAGATCATGCGATAAACTATGGTTTGTCCAATACTAAAAAGGACCTCCTTTGTACTGTTATTTTTCTCATTGATCTTGTATGATATATACTCATCCTATACAAACAGTTTACATTTACAGGTTATCAAGAACATGGTGTACCTGTTACAGAGAGTAAATTCAGCTAACTAGATGGTTTGATTTTTCAGTGCATGCTTTTGGGATGAGTTTATCTAAAATTTGGCAACACTGAATTAAAATAATTGACAAAACTTCCTCAACTCTCTCTCTTTTTCTTAGAGTATGTCACATGAGATACTAATCATTAATTTTCGCTCAATATCGAAAAATATTATTAAATAAGCATAATCTCAGTGGAATTACAGAAAACCGTAAAATAACGCGCCTGATAGACACAAAATTATTCATTCACAAATCGTTAACTGAAATTATTTTTTATAATGTGTAAACTATTTATATACGAAGACTATAATCAAGATGAATGACAAAAATAATATAACACAGGAATTGCACTTTATTATTGAACAAACTATGGTTTACTGCATAATTTTGTATTTTTTCTAGGATTTCACAGAATTGCGAGTAATTCAAGAATGACTCGATTTTGTACCAAGGTATATATGGCTTGATGTATATCTCTCAAACAGCCTGCATATTTTTATATCCAGACAACTTTTAGCCATCCTTACCTCTACAGCTGCAGTAGCTGTGGCTGCTGCTGCAGCCGCAGCTGAAACAGACAGGCTAAGATTCCCTGGAGCAGTACCAGACTGCCTCATGGGTAAACTGTCATTTCCCAATGTAGATGACAGTCTATTGATGTCCCAGATGAGCACTGAGCCATCCGCTCTGTATTTATCTAGGCCTACAGCTAGCAGATTGCCCTCCACAGGATTGAAAAGGACGTCATTGCAACATCTTCCATGACGAGGCACTATTAGAAATTAACAGATATATCTTATATGCCGATTAAAAAAAGCAAGCAAATGCAAAATATATAGAGATGATGGAATAGTCTATCATAGTAAAGTGAAAATAAAGTAAAATTGAGATCTAAGACAAAAGTGTTAGTTATATACAAACATGCGGCCAATTAATGTACTACCAGATGTCGAGAAGCTCTTAGAAGGAATCACATATGAACAAGTCATTGAATTTATTGAAGAAAATAAGATATTGACAAAATTTCAAGCACGATTCAGAAAAAAGTTTTCTACTGAAACGGCAATTCAAATGGTAGTAGAAGAATGGAGGCGAAATATGGATGAGAAAAAGTTTACAGTAACATTGTTCTTAGATTTCAAGAGAGCATTTGAGACTATTGATAGGGAGAAATTGTTAACGAAATTGCATTGCTATGGATTTCAAGGTTCAGTATTCAATTTATTACAAAATTATTTAATCAATAGAAGTCAAAAGAACTAAAATAGGCAATACATTATCAAACATTAAAAACATTTCGGTAGGTGTGCCACAGAGTAGCAAATTAGGTCCATTACTATTTATTTCATATATTAACGATATTCCTGATATTTTATAACACTGCAAAATTCAACTATTTGCTGATGATACATTAATATATATAACAAATAAAGACATTGAAACTGCAATAGAGCTGTTAAATATTGATATGAAAAACGTAATAAATTGGTTAAATGTAAATAAACTTAAACTAAACACAAACAAAACAAAATATATGCTAATAGGAAAATCCTTAGATCAAAATACGATAAATCTTACAATTATTCATGAAAAAATTGTGTCAATCAAATCATTTAAATATTTGGGCATATACATAGACAGTAAATTAAAATTTGAAGGGCACTATGAATATATTATTTCAAAAATTTCCAAGAAAATAAATTACTTTTATAGAATTTCGCATAGCCTAAGCATTTATTCTAAAAAAATTGTGTACAACACTATCATTCTTCCTCATTTGTTATATTGTTCGACTATTTTGTTCACTGCAAATGAAACTGTATTTTCAAAATTACAAAATAAAGCTATGAGAATCATCTTAAATAAAAATAAACATACTAGAATAAATTTTATGCTGAAAGAACTACAATGGTTAAATATCAAAAATTTCATAGCCTACTTGGTTTTCATTTTCATATTCAAGTTGAAAAATCATCTTCTACCAAATCACTTAGAAAATTTTATTTTATTGAACAATGAGTGCCACAATTATTCTACTAGAGGAAGTATAGACTTTCATTTACAAAACTGCAGTAGCAATATAACGAGCAAGTCAGTATTTCAAAAGGGATTGTACGAATTTAATAAACTAAGTAATGATATCAAGATGTGTGTCAGTTTGAGAATGTTCAAAGGGAAAAAATATCTCATGGAAAACCAGAATTCATAGTAGTGAAATTTTGTATAAAAATATGTAGTCTTGAAGACATATTTTGTCATATATTGTGTAAAATGGATATTATGGACATTGTAGCATTAATGCTAAATAAATCTGAAACAAACAAACAAACAAACAAACAAAACATGACAAATCCTCATGAAATTACTCATTAAAATCAAAGTAAAAATCTTACAAGCACAAGTAAACTGGGTGCATTTTTAATATTGTCTGGTACCATATTATATGCTTTTAATACCATTTATATTGGGCTCTTCTAGACGTATGTGTAAGTATGGGGAAGAATGCTTAAACTATCTCTTTCTCTGGTTTCAGTGGTTAAATTATCTATGTAGTGATGATAGTTGCAGTTAAGTTTGAATGTTTCTGCATGAACATGAGAAGTGAGAGATATGTCAATGATGGTGCAGTTAAAAAATTGACAGGGTAGAGTGCAAATTTATCAAAAAACATTGGGCATTTTATAATGAAATGAAAAACATTGACCTGAATACTCTCCTTACCCAACTCTTTTCCAACATAGCCCTTAATGTCATGCTCAGGAGAGGGATTGAAAGTTGCTAATGATACTCTGCCATTTGTTAAACCTATTGCCAGCAGTAGGTCCACTTCACATTTTGGATAAATATCTATACTCCTTGTGTAATTGAAGTTACCATTGGTTGTTTTAAGTTCTGCATAACGGGATTCTGAGATCTTGAAAACTAACAAAAATTGGAATTATACAGGTGCTATTGTAAATAAAGACAGTGATAGGACACCACATCTAGCAGAGAGGTAAATCTCAGACTAGTGCTATAGTTTGCATGCAAAAAATCTGTCACTGTGGATGAAATAATCAAATTCAAAGGAGCAATAGGTGATGCATTTATTTTGTTCTGATGCATTTTCTTTTAAAATTTAGATTGTAGTATTTCACAGTGACAGATTTATGTACGAGTCCTTGGCACTAGTAAAGCATTTTGGTTTGGCATTTTCTTTTTAAAATTTACATTGTAGTATTTCAGTGACAGATTTATGTACGAGTATATGGTACTAGTAAAGCATTTTGGTGTTGGGTTTGGTTACTGGATGTGGTCTCCTGTAGCTGACTCTGCACGAACAGCTACCTGTAGGGTTAAAATCATTACCCAAAAGTTCTGTTTTTAAGTCGTGATTACCATTGGAACTAGGAACAGATTCTGGTAGAGTAGAATAGACTTCATACAGACAGATTCCAGCACCCCATGTTATAAACTTGTTTTCTATAGGAGACCATTGTATCTCTAGTTTGCCAGTCATATCCAGTTCTGTATCTTGCTAGTGACTGTATTATTATAGTATTGCTTTATTCCATATCCAAATTACCCTGGAAAATCCGAAGTATTTTTTTTATTTTTGATTACTGTAAACTGTAAACAAAATTCTAGGTTAGGCGTAGAATCATTAGTGACAGGACTGGGGAGTGTCAACGGTGTCAACCACAACGCAAGAGACAGGGAAGGCGTATTTTTTTATTCACCGGTTGAGCCACCGGTGCGGCCAATTAGCTAATTTACTATTTACTTCCTTTAATTTCCGTCTGAGCGACCGGTTGTACACCAAACTTGTCTATATAGTTTATAGACAAGTTCAATGACGCCAAAATGTGGGCTTTTTACCGAGTACTACGGCACAACTAGGGATACGATAACAAAACATTGTTTCATTTTTAACAAGCAAGATTGTTTTCCTTCTTTGTCCTTTGATCTTGGTATCACCAACTGTTTGATAACACAGTAGGGCCATTCAAAACACAAAGAATGTGCTTCCAAAAATTCATTGTAAAGCAAAAGATCGACAGAAGATATACAGGGTGATTCACAAGTCGTGACCAAAAATGTAACATTTTTTCCTCGAGGGCTTCATTAAAAGGATACGGGGTGTTTGAAGTTTGAAACCAAAAAACTATTTTTTTAATATCTTCAAAACCGTCAACTGGAATGAACTAAAAGTTGGTATGTGGATTTACATAAATATTGTCCACATTCAAAAGTCTTACTTAAAATTAACGTACGCCAGTGGCGGAGATACAGGGGATGAGTGGCATTATTTTTCCAAATAAAAATAGTACGCCACTGTTGTTTTTTCTAAACGCGCAATTTTTCAAATTTTACCTTCGATTTGCTACAAATAAATAATTACTCTTGTGTTTTTTTCTAAAGTGCATTGTTTTCGTGAAAATAAAAAAAACAAATTGGATAATCAAAGCTTTATTTCAATAAATGTTCAAAAATACTACCATTCTGACGTATACAAGTGCGGCATCTTTTTAATAAAGAAAAACGTATTTCCGCACACTTTGTTGTGGCCTGAATTTGGTGAAACGCATTCTCTAATCTTTGTTGTAACTGATCAAGGGTATTAATTTGTTCAGCATACACTAGTTGTTTGAAAGCGCCCCACAAAAAGAAATCCAGGGGGTTCAAATCAGAAGACCTCGCAGGCCAATGTACGGGTCCGTTTCTGTCAATCCATCGTTGTCTAAAATGATTATTTAACCATGTGGTTATGTCACGACGAACATGCGGTGGGGCACCGTCGTGCTAATGCCACATTCGTACTCTCGTTGCTAACGGAACATCATCTAACACATTTTGTATGTGATTCTCTAAAAAACCTAAGAATGAGTTTGCATTTAAACATTGTGGCAATACGTGGATCAACAATTGGCCATTGAAAATGCCTCACCAGACATTTCTAGAAAATCTGTGTTGAAACGGGGATTTTCTAACGATCAAATATGTTTATTATGAGAATTAAAGGTTCCACTCCTCGTAAAAAGCGATTCATCTGACCACAAAGCCAAATCAATAAAATCTGCATTTTGATTTTGCATTTGCAGTAACCACAACAATTTCGCTGTTGCACTTCGTCGCCGGGTTGTATACATTGCACATTTTGCCGATGGTAAGGATGTAAAACTTGCCGATTTAAAATTCTCCACGCAAGACTGGGAACATGGTAACAGAGTTGCAATCCGCCTAGCACTTCATGAATGATCTAATTTGTTTTACGAAAACTGCACTCTAGGAAAAAACAGCAGTGATTATCTGTAGGCAATTAAAGGTAAAATTCGAAAAATTGCGGGTTTGGAAAAAACAGCGTACTATTTTTATTTGGAAAATAATGCCACTAAACGCATGTATCTCCGCCACTGGTGCACGTTAATTTTAAGTAAATGCTTTCGAATGTGGATAATACTTAGGCAAATTCACAAACCAAATGTTAGTTCATTCCAGTTGACGGTTTTTACGATATTAAAACCAATGTTTTTTTATTTTTAAACTTCAACACCCCGTATCTTTTTAATGAAGCCCTCGAGGAAAAAATGTTACATAGAAGACCCCCCTAAAATGCGGTCCTGTGTATGATGTTTCATTTTTGGTCACGACTTGTGAATCACCCTGTATAGTGGAAGTGTCTGAGCCCCAAACACTTTTTGAAGAGCGGGAGGATGCAAATTTTTCCCTGGGCGACCAAAAGCTTAAAAGATTCCACCATAATTTTTGATTTACAAAAAAATAATGTGCTTTCTAAAATTCATGTGTTAGTAACGGAAATTCTACCAAACTCAACGTTCCCAATATTTGACAGGCTTTCGTTTCTGGAGCAATTCCACGCATGACTATCAATCACACATTTTTCGGTGTTTTCTGTCGTACATCCTGAAAATGGCAAGAGATAAAGCAATAACTGTATCTGCGATGAATACAGAATATTTTTCTCATCTAGTTTATTCCTTATTGTAAGATCTTGTGAAAGTAGACGTCATCGACTGACAAAAGTGGAAACTCAATAAGTTGACTGTTGTAATCATCACGGAATCATTCGCATAATTCTCGAAAGAGAGGAATTTTATATAGGGATGATCAAGCTAGAAAACGTACCAATTTTTTTGTGGAAAATATCAAGTTTAAAGTGACACCACTGGTAGCGCAATATAATAACTTTGGTCTAAACTATATATGTCATTTTATATCCTCTCTTACAGGCTAAAAAAATAATATTTAAAAACTACCTTCAAAGATATAAAATAAAAACTTTTTTTAAATTCAACACCCTGTAGCTAAAAATTTCAACTGAAAAAAAGATACATTTAAGAATGCAAACTCAGAATCCAGTAGTACTTGCCACAGTGAAGGTTTTTATTATATAGAATTGTAACTCCGCGATTTTTCCCAAATAATGTAATATATTCTTGTGAATATCTGGCTGTAGCTGATTAGGTGACAAGGTAGCATGCTCCAACTTGGCACAACCCAGGGAGTGGCAGCATTTTTTCAGGTTTTCAAATTGCTATACTGACATATATACACCTACGAGTAAATGGTAATCTGTTGTAACTTCTTTTATGTTTTAGAAATCTGCTACTGTTCAATCTGACACATCTGTGATTCACCTACAACCTACAAAACAGCTCAATTTTGGCCACACATAAGCGAATAACATGTAAATCTGTCAACACCACCTTGTCATGCTGTACTCGTGTTCCTGAATTCTACAACCATTAGCGCATTCTACTTGGAGATTGCTAATCATAAACTGCTACGTATTTCGGTGTCCAAAAAGGGACCTGGAAGATACTATCGCAATCTATGAGACAAGAGCAGAACACACAAATAAAGAAACCTACTTTGCAAATAGTGTTTGGTTCTCCTAGTCTCATATATGACGCTAGGGTATTCAATTCCCTTTTGGTCACCCTAGTGCTTAATTTTAATTAGGTATCTTCAGGCGAATAAAATAAATATTTAAAATTCGAGCGTGATATGGCATTTACTTAATCTCGCGTCTGTACGATTCTTTGTCATGAGATTATCATAATTTTTTTTATACACACCATGAAAAATCAGACAATAAGTAGGTACTCATAACACGTACCCAATCACGACGTTGAAGAAAAGGGATGTGAGACCTTAATCAATGTGTCTACCCAAGTTTCAGCGGAATACGCGTCAAGCCGTTTTTGTAAAGCTACTAGGAATGGTATAGTTGCATTTATGCGTCATCTGTCAAAAATCGTTCAGCATGCACACAATGCTTCGACCCACAATTGTTTGAAATTTGGTTTTTGTTATCTCTCTTCATCGTTCCACAACCAGGTCTTCAATTTACAGAAATATCAATATACTTATTTGAAAATTATATTTTTTACTAATTTCCGATATACAGATTATAGTTTGATTCAGTTTTATAGTCACTGAATATAAGTTTCTTTGGCCACGTATTTCTGTTCTATTCACATATGGGGAAATTGGGTAATTGTATATGTATACAACATAAATATTCGTTTAAAAAATATATTACAGACAAAAAAAAAATATCCTCAGGATAATATTTTACAATTTGTAGGTAAAAAACCACAAATATACTAATAACATTATATTTACAAACTAATGCCCTTCTTTTCCATAGAACTCTGTATTGAATCTCATAGTTAGAATATACACAACAGCTTCATAGGTTGACATCATAATAGCTGTATTTGGAATTTGCCTAACTAACTGTGTCGTCAACCCTCTATAAATACCCTTAATTCCTTCTTCCTTGCAGACCAATCCTAACGTTTGCCAAAACCCCGTATACTTGCTACCTTCTTCGCGTAAACGCGTCCTTGCTACTTCGTGTGGATATGCTATGCACGACGCTATAGTTTTTGAACAAGCTCCTGCTACCATAAACTCTAGGAAGTCCTTTGAACTCTTCTCATCCGTTAATTCAGCTCTATGAGATACTAACTCTGCTTTAATGGCTTCGTATATCACAAAGTGGATTATCGTCTCTGATATTCCCATATAAGAGGCGGTTATTCCCTTGTAGAATCCTAAGATACCCTAGAATCAGAGATCTCAAGATAAAAGACGAAAAACAGAAGCTATCAGACAGGGTTGATTGATTTAAACCATGATTTAAATGAATGATTTACATTATTTTTTTTTATAAAAAATCAGTACTTAAATCAAACTTGATGAAATTTCATGAAAGTTCATTTCATAAAAGAAAAATATTTATTCAAATGCACAGTTTTCATTCATTAATGTAAACTATGTTATTATAGCAAACTATTAATGGATAAGAAAGTCACTCAACAACTATTTATTATATTTAAAAAGGAGCACCAATTCCACCGCCTCCTCATTTCCCCCAGTTCAGATTGGACCAGAGCAAATGTAGAAAAAATCGTTTCAGTAGATGCAGAGGAAGCCACAGCCGTGATGAACTGGTAGAAGATAGACTTTAGTTGACCATGTTCATCTATGCTTAACTGTGATTTCCACCAATGATTTTACATTTTGTATCATATCCTCGGCAAAAATTACTTGTTTGAATGGATCACTCTTGGCTTTAAATTTAATTATTAAAGGTAGTAGGCCTGTGCATAGTACGCCACTGCCGATATCACGGAATGTCCCGCTATAAATTGACCACCCCCTTGACATTTTAGCATAACCTTTTAGTATAAGTATAAGGTTATATAGAGAACATAACTACAGCCCCACTTTGCTGAACAAAAAGCGTCCTAGCGCTCATCCGGTTTCGATGGATGGCTGAGCTCTACCAAACATCCATTCATTTCGGCTAGTCGGAGTTCAGATCACTGAGGACTTGAACTAGCACGCACACATCTCATCAATAGTGGCAGCTGCTGGGAACAAGCTAGGCTATTTATTTGGGGTTAAGAAGTAATTTTCTCCACATGACCTCCTCACTCTATATAAGGCCCAGATAAGAAATAGCCTCGGGCATTGCTCATATTTGGGAAGCTGCAGCCCCGACTACCTTATCCATGCTCGCTGCTGTTCAGAAGACGAATGTCCGACTGATCAATGACTCTTCTTTAACAGACAGTCTCGGGACCCTTTCGCACCGGCTGGCCGTCGGCGATATAGCTCTCTTCTACCGCTACCCCAATGGGTGTTGCTGGTCTTCAGAGCTCTCCTCCAAGATGCCGCAGCCCGATGTGCGTGCCAGGCACACCCGCCTGACTTCGGCCTCCCATCCTGGCCGTGTCGAACTTTATACATCCAGAACTGGTCTCTAGGGTGTCGAAATTGTGGAACAATCTACAAGAGGAGGTTTTTTCCAGTTCAACTAGAAGAAAGTTTTTTTGGGAATCTCAAAGCAGCCGCCGTACCCTGGCATTTAGGCTTCTGCCTGCAAGGCTGCTTCGGTTTAAAAAAGTATTCGTTTTTTCTTTAGTTGGTGGAAATGTAACTATACAACTCACCCAGTGATGGATTTGATGTTAAATCAATCAGAATAAGTTCCATACATATCCTTTTGGTTTGTTTTATCGTCCCTATCCACTATTGTATTAAATTACAATTAAACCGAGCGAAAGAAAGCCGTTGGTGGTCTCCAGTTCATATAAAAGTTGAAAAGCCTAATATAAAGTTTTACAGGCAATGTCTTTTTTATATACAGGATCTCGGAAAAAAGCTACCGAATAAAATTGTATTTTTTAATGGAACACCCTGTTTATTTTTAGTGAAGATGGTTGTTGCTCTTCTTATTATAAATATATACGGCTTTAGCCAAATACTTAAATCTTATGTGTCATTTATGATTTGTACCGGAACTATACTAGACTGCATTTAACTCTGGTACACATAATAATTATGATAAACCATATATACTTATAATCCGGAAAAAAACACTATTTCTATAAAAAGTATACAGGGCGCTCCATATAAAAATGCAGCTTTAGTCGATAGCACTTTTCTACGTAACATTTTTCAAAACGGTCATACAAAAAAGTTGGAGGGAAATTATAGCGAGATGCCCTGTACGTGACACGTGTTCCAAATGGTTTGCGACACCTTCCGTTCTTCGATGTAATGGACGGTACACTATTTATTCAATTCTCATTTATTCGGCGTTAAAACAAACATGAGCACTCAATAGATCATTCTATTTGCTTAGCTGCCTGTCCAGGCATTTTTGGCTCACTGGCCAGTAGAAATACGTAAATTTAATCATCGCGCGCTGGTGTTCCTTTTGACTGGAAATAAATGAGGTTTAAATACACTTCAGGTGTTAGTAGCCATCTCCTCTAGAACTAACATCTTCAATGAAAATTCAACTGATGTAGGCGTGACTGTTCGCAGTATCACTTCGTGTTTTACAATGAATGTGCTCCATGATAATCACTTCTACGAGTGATTTCACGTATTGTGTTATCAAAAATGTCATGAAAAAGCTTTCTGCAGACCACAGTCCTTCCATCTGCCACTATACTGTAACGCCCTCGTATAGCTGGGACCTTGAGCGGCGAGTAGTAGCATGCAAAGTCGACGCTTAGGAACCAGCTAGGGACCGATTGCGACGCTGTCTAAAAAGGGTTAGGCCGAGATTCAAGACTAATCTAGATCCATCTGGAGGCACTACCTCCATGGAATTTCACGACTGTGCCTGGAAAATGCTAAAATTTCTCGACGCGTCGATAGGTGGATAAATACCCGACCACATGACGGAAGCAGTTAGTCGCAGTCGAGCGAGGATTTGAGATCGAATAATAGTCCAGTCGACATAGTTATTAATTAGTTGCAAGTGATAAATTAGTGTAGCAGTAATAAATTAGACATTGAACAGTAAAACGGTGTTACGTTTCAATATAAACATAAACTCACCTTTTCTACGTATATCCTTCTAACGACTTGCATTGCCGTCACACCGCTATCCTTGTTCATGTCCAGCTGCAACCGCGTCTTGACGAACCAAATGGGGTTGGTGAGAGTGCTTGCGGCAAAACCTGCACAGGTTGCTGAGCACATGTGCACCACGGGTGAGTCTGGAGGCAGCAAGCCGTTCCAGAACTGCTTCGCTTGCGAATAGGTGCAGAAGTATATGGCGCGCGACGGAGCCACGCCCACCAGGTTCGGACCCAAACCTATAAAAGTGCCCGACAGGTGGCGGACAGGACAGAACACCATGTGGCATTAGTTGCAAACATCTATTGAATCATTTCTACCGCTATGGGGCATATTTGCGTTGCCGAAAGCGTATTATTACTTCCAGAGTAATATGTCTTGTGTGGTACCAAGATGAAATTATTGAGTTTAACAGCCAACTTTAGTTTATCTAACTTAAAGGCACTCTGATTAGTGCGTAGGACATTTTGTCTCGTGCTGATCAAACAATTTCTATTCTGGATTTGCTTTTCTGATTAAAATAACCCAAAGTTGTCACATTTTTTTGGTTTCATAGAACTTCGGTGATGTTTTTTCTTAGGTGCAAATCTATTATATCCACAATATAACAAGAATAAATTGCATTTTGACGATTATTATTAGGCAGCTTATTTAGAAATTTCAATTCTCTTAACACCAATATAAAAGTTATGTTTATCAACATTTTAAAAATGTTATTGGTATATATTTTTAAGGTATCTCATATGACTTGCCCTAAACTACACTTTTGAGTGTCTAGCCTAAAAATCAAATAGATATACAAGTGTACCTATTACGCAAATCTTAGGAATTCATTATCAAAGAGTTTACACAGCAGAGTTGGTGGATATGACCAATAATGATGCCACCACTCATTCAATTTTACTTACCCACTAGGAGGATTAACTATTATACAGGGTGTTTCAGAACTAAGTGATCATACTTCTAGGGGTTATTCAGTGTAACAGTAGAATACATTGGAGTATAGGGACCCATATCCGGAAAAGTGTCACTACGGCCCTAAGACGGGTTAAAATTTAGAAAGACGATGAATTGCCTAAATAGGATTTAATGCATTTCATTTTTGATATCATCACAACAATTGTTCAAAATGTATTCCTCCAACCTGAATACACCGTTCCTGTGGGGACATGTAAAGTCTTTGGTTTACGAAACTCCAGTAGAAAAAGAGCAAGACTTAATTGGACGAATTACAGCAGCATTTGAAATCATTCAAAACGAGTATCAAATTTTTACTTGCCGAAATCATATGCAACGTTTAAATCGGTGTTGAAGGAAGACATTTTGAACAAATGTTGTGATGATATCATGTACAAAAGGCAAAAATTAAATGCATTAAATCCTATTTAGGCAATTCATCGTCTTTCTAAATTTTAACGCGTCTTAGGGCCGTAGTGCCATAGTGACACTTTTCCGGATATGGGTCCCTATACTCAAATGTTTTCTACTGTTACACTGAATAGCCTCTACAAGTTTGATCCCATAGTTCTGAAACACCGTGTATAGTGCTTCACAAGCACACTGTGCTTATAGTACAGATGTATACAAAAATGTAGACAAAATAACTATATAAGTGAGGACAATACTATCAGAATGACAGCACTCTCAATCTATGCACATGTTGTTCAAGTTGAACAATGATGATCAATCTACACGGGTTCCACTTAAGATACTATTTCATAAAACTTGATGCGGGAACCGATGGACTTTATAAAATTCAAGCACTGCCTCAAAAGATAAGATATCTTTTTGAAAAATCGTACATAAGAGAAATAGATATTATTATAATAAACCAGAAACAATATTTCAGTAATATTTATCATGTATAGATAAATCACAGTGATTTCATGAAATTAGCCAAATATAAGTCATAAGCCATGAGTTAGAATAAATAATCAATCATATCAACAACTCAGCATATGGTTTTACCTATAATTAGTAATAATAAAATAGGAACAAACATGCTTTAATGGATTATAACCAGATTAAGTGGAAATACAGAAATTATAACTATTCTTCTGGAAAATAAATAATAAGTTAAAAACTATTCATTATTTGTTTCAGCCAAAGTAAAATAATTTTAATTTCATTTAAAATTTGAAAAAGACTACTAGTTATTTTATATCACTACAAAGATAAAACATTAAACATTATGAAGCTATGTTTTCTTGTTGAATACATCAGAATTTAACAAAGGACTAAGTAATGTTTCAGTTATTGTATATTTTATTTACTGAGATACCTACAATATCTGTAAGTTCATTCTGAATCACTCAGAATAGAAAACATGGATTACAAACCTGAATAATCCTTTTAAGGTAGTTTGATGTATTTTGTGCAATTTGCATTTAGACAAAATTTATTGGAACAACAATAACTAGTTTTTTGTTGTCATTTATGAGATTTGCTTAATCACCAAGAATAAGTTAAAGAAGTATAGACTAGATAGTGAATATAATGGAAAAGTAACCAATCTATACATATTTATTGAACAATACGTATTTTAAAGCAGAAAGTATCTATATACATATATAAAAATATATAGTCCAGTAAATTTATGAACACTTTTGACCTAATAAAAATTCCTATATGGATCAACATTATTTTTTGAGGTTAGGTGCTATTTTAGGACATACAGTAATGGACAAAAGTATATAGACAAATATACTAAGTGACATATAAATCCGAACACCCAGTTTAAATGGTTTTATTTTAATAAATTTTTGTATAAGTACTTAATGAAGCATAATAACTAAATGATAAAAATTTCGAAATGGTTGCACTGCTTTAAAGCCCTTTGACCTTTAATAATGTGTGGATGCACCCTGATGTGCTACGCATTCTCCAACGCGCCTAGGCATGCTTCTGATCAGGTGGTCAATGTCCTCCTGTGATATCTCATTCCAGGCAACCACCAACTCCTCTCGAAGTGCTTCTAGAGTCTGAGGAGGACGCTGCAAATTGAGCAATCTCCTACCCATCATATCCCACACGTGTTCAATTGGGGATAAGTCGGGAGATCTTGGTGGCCATGGTAACAATGTGACATCATTATATTGAAAGAAGTCTATTGTGACTCTTGCAACATGTGGTCGGGCATTATCTTGTTGGAAAGTTGGATCTGCCAGGGTGTCAAGATAGGGTAAAAGATGGGGTTCTAGAACTTCGTGGATATAACGCTGCGCGTTCATGTTACCTCTGATGACGATTAAAGGTGACCTGGAACCATAAGCTATAGCACCCCAAACCATAACTCCAACAGTGTGATGAACACGTCTTTCAACAAAAAACTGTGGATTCCTCCTTTCACCACGTCGCCTTCTAACCCTGGCCCGACCATCGTGCATGCCTAAACAAAATCGAGACTCGTCACTAAAGACAATACTGTTCCATTCCTGATCCCAGAGTGACCGTTGTCTGCACCACTCAAGGCGATTACGTCGGTGTTCTCGAGTTAAAGGGAGGACCCAGTGTGGCCGGTATGAAAACAAGCCAAAACTTCTCATTCGTCGGTAAACACTTCGCATGCCAATAGGTCTTCCTTGTTCTGCAAACCATTCATTTGCAATGGACCTGGTAGTGGAGAAACGGTCCCTTAAGGCCAATAATCTTAGGCAGCGATCTTCACGGTCTGTTGTTATACGGCGGCGTCCAGTGCCCCTTCTCGAAGCCATGCCTGACAACACCTAACCACAGTGTCTACACTTCTTTGCACTCTAACTGCAATTGCCCGAAAAGAAAGTCCAGCTTCCCGAAGTCCTACTATACGGCCCCTATCAAACTCACTAAGTTGACGAAATCGTACAGGTCTCCGTACTCTAGGCATCGTAACCGATCGTAAAGGATGTCAAGAACCAAAATCCGCCAACGTTGATTCTTTACTGCGGCTGAAATATTCATTTTTAGAGCGTTAGTGAATTAAAAAAAGCAGTATAAAAACCGGAATGTCCAACTGATAAGGCTGAAAATTTGTTCACTTGTTATTTCCAGTAAGATAAATACATTCACCAACTTTTATTAAAATAAAACCATTTAAACTGGGTGTTCGGATTTATATGTCACTTAGTATATGAATATTTACCTAAATACCTTTAGAAAACGAATTCATACTTCATTCCTCCATAAGCAAATGCGTTATTAATAGAAAAACTAAATTCCTTGTTTTTACATTATCTGCAATGAACACAATACAAGTCTGAATATAAGCACTTTTTTATGAGGGACAAAAATATGTATACAAATTCTTTTCAACATTAGCTTAGTACAGTTTCGTGTCAGAAGAGGATTAGTTTGTGTTCATCAAGTATTGTGGAATAAGTTGATTGACTTTAAGAACATGCCGCGTGGTCCAGAAATTTCTTTCGATGTGAAAACTAAGATCATTGAGTTATACAAAGATGGTCAACGTCAAGTCGGCATTGCCAACAATTTGAAGCTGAAGCGTAAGGCACATTGGGCAATATTGAACAAATATAAACAGAAAGGTATCTTGGAAGCCTCTAAGAGAAGCCTAGAAAACTAAATGCTAGATCAGTTAGATTAATAAAAGTAATTTCGTCCAAACATCCGTTTAAAACCCCAAGACAAATAAAAGCCGAAATCTAGACAAAATGAATTGCCAGTGTTTCTACGAAAACTATAAGTAGAAGATTAAATGATTTGAAGTTATTTGCACGTCGCCCTAGTAAGAAGCCGCTAATCTCGAGGAAAAACCGATTACAATTTGCACGGTTGCATCAGCAAAAGTGGAGACAGATTGATGAATCTTATATCAAGAAACTTCTACAATCTATGCGGAAACGATGCCAGGCGGTGATTGATAATAGTGGTTATACTACAAAATATTAGCACAAACATGGTTGGTTTTCTATACTTCAATGAACTTTGCTTCTTTTTTCTATAATTGTTTTGCTTTGTCTATATATTTTTGTCCTTCATAGTTCCAGTTTTTATCAATTAATTCTTTATTGAAGGGAGTCTAATAAATTTATTTATGTATAAGTGAGTATTATGCTATAACGAATTATCTATACAGGTTGGTGTATCAATAAAACAAGTTAAAAAAGAAATATAGCACAATATTAATTTGTCTATATGTATACTTTTGTCCATTACTGTACATCTTTTCAAAATCATCATAGCGAAAAACTCTTGATTATTTTAATTGTCCATTTGTTGTAGAATAATTATACTGGCGAGCAAAAGTATATAATTTGTAGAAAAAATGCCACAACAAAGTTAGACTTTTTTTAAGTAATTATTTTCAAGCAATTTTTTAAATTTTCCTTAATAATATCTTGAAAGGAAGTAAATATTAAGCATCAATAATAAGAAAATGAGGAGCTGAAATATAGTTCCTTGAAGGTATGATACAGTTTTTCTGTACATGCTTTATTATTTATATTTTATAGACAAGTACAAAAAATGACAATATTTTGATAAAAACCGTAAAACTTTTTAAACGTATAATTTTTGGTGATGAATTGATAATATGCTTAATAATAGTCCTTAAACAGATTGCGCCTAATCAGACTGTATGTGTGGAGAAAGTAAAAATAAAAAGACTCCGCAAAAGGCACGGAAAAAACATCCTGGCTGTAGTCAAAAACGATGCACTCGCTAATGCATCCCGAACTATAATTACCGTTTTTGAAGAAAAAAGCGTCGGTTGAGATTGCTCAGTGCTAGACCCAGGCTTGCACCCTAAAGGCCCTAGGTTCAATCTCTACTTGTGATTAAATACTACTAAATACTAAACATTTAAATTGCTTTTGATTTGACAATACATTTCCCTGACTAAAAATAATGTGATTCTGAGTCCCACACCACCTAACTTGACGCTTAAGGAGTGAAAGCATTGTAATATTACAGAGAACCCTCTTGTAGCTTATTTATCAAGCTCTAAAATTGTCTTGATGATGAATATACTATTTAAATGACTGTAACACAAGATTATCTTTCAGTCCCTGACTACCGAAATTTTTCGTTATGCTAAAACCATCTGTTTCCTCAGGTTACACGCGTATCCGGATGTATGGGCATGTGTATCTACTTTTGTGGTTTCATATGTGCATTCATTTCGAGCCTGATGAAGCCAACAAGCAGAAATACGTATCGCTGGGGTTACCTATCCTATTTTCTGCTCGAATCCACTTTCCTTCTTTTTGCGGATTTTGCCCATTACTTTTCTATTTGTTATATACCTTTTTCTGCATGATGCTTTTCTCTTTGTAGATCGTTTGGGCTTGAAGTACCACAGCAAGTGTTTATAACCGGCTGCGTGGTTGTGGTTAATGGTCGCCTTGAAAATTCGAGGTCTTTTAGGGATTTTATACTACCATGTGTAGGTTGGCTCTTGTTGGGCACTTCGTGTGACGAAAGCATATTCATGGAAAATCTTATAAAAATGAGACTGGCGGTCCGGTAAGAGCTTTCCGAAGAAAGACACGTGACAGTACTCCAGAAATACCTATTCTTTTTTATCGTCTAATCATTGTATATGTTAATTTTGAAGGACATGCTCTGACGATTTTCTTGAGAGGGGACCTATCGAGATATCAATATCCTCCATAAAAAATGCTTATATGGTTCAAATAATGTAGGAACAAGGTTCATTCAAAAATGGAACGATTCAATAGAATAATTTTTTTTTAAAAAGTTTGCAACCAGAACATCTCAAGTTTCGATATCTGGCAGGAATTGAATATTATAAATAAATCAACTGTATTTTAATAAAACATTAGTACAAAAAGTTGACAGTCTACAAATCTGATTTGCCCTTTACACCTGTTTGTACTTACTATTACTTGAATTTTTTCTGTACGCAATAGTATCAAACAACTATTGCTACTTTTTTCTACCTATCAAGAACCACTCATAAAAAGTGTATTTGATATAACAAGATAAATATTACCACTTGGCTTCTTATGGAAAGTAAATATCTGACTTGTTAATAAAGTGTTTCAACTGGAGACTGTGTTGAGCATGCAATACCATTGGAGGGACCTTCAGATGGCTGTCTTTATTCCCCTCCAAATAAGAAACCTTTAGGTAACTGATATACCCTTATAATATATCACAGTGATTCCACGCATATCCTCGTTTTGAAAAGATATTGGGGACTGAAGCTTTGCATGGCCACCTTAACATCATATCGGATTTTTCAATTTTTGGTTGCACATAAGCATTCAAAATTCTTTTGCAAATCAGTATCTCTTGAATGTTAGAAGGAAATCACCCTCATATCAAAGGTCGACAAAAGTAGTCCCTATCTATCATGCACAAGTTTCAAAATATTCTCGCTAGATCATATATCTTAAATTTCTCATACGAAACTACCTCAAGGCAAAGAAAAAAGTTTATAGCTAACAGTGGAAACATTGTAAACCATAATTTCTAGATTTTTTATAGGATAATAACCCAATCGTACAGCCGCCTCTTGGCAACAGTATACATATTTCAGAAATCGTGCATTAACGCTCGTGCGAAGAGGAAAAAGAGATTATTTACAAGCTGTTCAAAATCAGGATATAAAAAAGTTTTATAAGTCCCCTAAAGACTTTCAAAGTACAATCTCATAAAGATTCTATAATTCCCGTGAGCTTGTCAGATCCTTATAAAATAAATGAGGCATTTATTTCAATTTTCGAGAATAGTGATTTGGCTTGTGCTGATAAAATTGCATATTACCGAGCTAATAAAAATAACTCAAAATTCAAATTTCAATTTAATAAAGTGACTATTGACACCGTTGTTAAAATTATACATAAAATAAAATCAAACTCTAGTAGTACAGATGGAATAACTTTGAATATGATACTACTATGTATACCTGAAATTGATGTGTACGCATATTATAAACTGCTGTTTAGAGAGGGGATATTTCCCCAATCAGTGGAAACGCGCTATATTTATTCCGCTACCTAAGTGTTCTGATCCTACTAACTATGGTCAACTGAGACCGATCAGTCTACTGCCAATTTTTTCTAAAGTATTGGAACGCGTTGTTTACGAGCAGCTCTGCGCCTACTTATATTCTAACAAAATTATTCCATCTAAACAATCTGGATTTCGACAACCTACCTTGAAAATCGGTATCAAAAAGTTCGTCTAAATCAACAGTACTCCACGGAACAAAAAATTTGTTCTGGTGTACCACAGGGATCAGTCTTAGGACCGCTATTATTTTCATTATATATCTCAGATTTAGAAACAGAGGTAAAATCATGCAGCATACAATTTTTTTGCAGATGATACTCAAATTTTCTATTCATTTAGGAGTAATGACTTCGAAACGGCAAATAATAAAATTAATCAAGATCTTGCCCAAATTGAAAAGTTCAGTAGTAGTCATAATCTTCGTTTGAACCCTTTGAAGACAAATATGTTGGTATACGCAAATAGAACAAAAAAGAATACCTTAAAAAAGGACATAGACATACATTTAAAAGGTAATAAATTAATTCCTGTGGATCATTAAAAAAGCCTAGGTATTATAATGGATGATGACTTAAAATTTGTTGCACACGTGAACTATGTTATTACTCAGTGCTACGCTATTCTCAGAGTTATATATGCAAATAAGGGTATATTACATAAATCTGCGAGAATGCAATTGTGTGAATATTTCGTGTTTTCAAAGATGTCGTATTGCTTAGTGGTTTACTATCCCTATTTAGATATTATAACAAGAAATCATATTCAAAGTATTATGAATACATGTTGCAGGCTTGTAAATGATCTCAGAAAATATGATCATATATTGAATGCCATTAATGAACTCAAATGGATGAAAATTGATAAAATGTATAAGTACCAGCTCCTAAATCTGACTCATAAGATTCTTTATTCAAAAACACCGTTATATTTAGTAAACCAATTCATATGTAGAGGGAATATGCATCGTATTAATATTAGATATAGAAACTTTTTCAATTCCACGCCACAACACGTCTCTATTTCAGAATACATACATTTACAATGCGATCAAATCATATAATTCTTTAGACCGCAGTTTAAAAGAAACCAATCCATTATCCAAATTCAAGAAAAAAGTGAAAGAAGTTCTTCTTGATCAGCAGCGAAATCGGTTGTAACCCATAAGTGTCCTCATATTTTCCTTAACGAGTCAATTTACTTGACGTCATTTATTGTTGCATGTTGAAGTGTTTCACTCTCCCATAGACCGCATTTTGCAGACAATCGCGAAATGTGTTCTAATCCGCCAAAAATCGTTATTCTCTGAATGAGTCAACATTTTGCTGTTGACGAAATATATACCCAAACCTTAGGAGGTTAAGTTATTCCTTGAATGAGCCAACCCTACTTGACATCATTTTCATTTTAATGCTGCATGGTGGGGTGTTTCACACTCCTGCATGAACCACATTTCACAAATGCTCACGAAATGTAACCTAATCCGCCTATTTACGTTATTCCTTGAATGAGTCAGTGAAGAGCCCATTATTTTTCTATTTGTTATATACCTTTTTCTGCATGATGCTTTTCTCTTTGTAGATCGTTTGGGCTTGAAGTACCACAGCAAGTGGCTATAACCGGCTGTGTGGTTGTGGTTAGATGTCGCCTTGAAAATTCGAGGTCTTCTAGCCATTTTATACTACAATGTGTAAGATGGCTCTTGTTAGTGACTTCATGTATTATTTTTGTTCCCTCTCCATCTTCATTTCCTTAGGTTACACCCGTATCTGGATGTATAGGTATGTGTACCTACTTTTGTAGTTGCATATATGCATTCATTTGTGGCGTGATGAAGCCAACAAGCAGAAATATGTATCACTCAGGTTACCTATCCTTTTTTCTGCTTGAATTCACTTTCCTTCTTTTAGTGGAATTTGCGCATTATTTTTCTATTTGTTATATACGTTTTTCCACAAGATCATTTTCTCTATGTAGATCCTTTGGGTTTGAAATACCATAGCAAGTGGCTATAACCGGCCGTGTGGTTGCGGTTACATGTCGCCTTAAAAATTTGAGCAAGAAGCTTTTTAGTAATACTACTAATTATACTCCAAAAGATGCTCTAACTGTGTAATACTTCTCAAACACATTTGAAATGTGAAAATTATTTATTAAAAAAAACCATTCTGACTTGCAGTTAGTGTTAAAATGACTGCACATAAAAAAAAGGAGTTCAAATCGAATTTGAGATGACATAATTATAGAAATTTGTATTTTCCATCATGTTAAAAATTGAAATTAACTGAAACATAATTATACAAACCTTTGAATAAAGCCATGGGACCCTCATGTTGCACAATATGCTTCAAACACTGGACAATGGACATCGAGTGTTGAGGAACAGATGAGAAACCTGAAAGAGCCACAACTTGAGGCCGGTTGTACGAGGTAGTGGTCCATAACCTACGCCTCTGATCAGGTACTGTACGACATGTTGTTTTAGGATGAGGGCTCTCACCAGGTATATTGGATATATCTCGCACAATAACAAAAGTATTCTTAGAAGACTGCAAACGTGTCTTTACTACTTCTAATGGACATGTGATAATAGCTCCAGTTGTACCAGCCACACTAAAAAAAAGATAATTACAAGTCAATTTATTTTTGAATCATTTTTTTTTTCATATGATATTGAGGTTTATCTAGATATTCATCTTGCTGATAAACATGGGCGATAACTTAATCAGTGTAAATACTTTTTGTCTAGCATAATGCTTGTTTACATTAAAATATATAAGGTACTATATTATCACATGCAATTTTCTAAAAATAGGATGCAAATTGCAGTAAATCTGGTGTCCTTGAAAATGTAGGTAAACAAAGATTGTATGAAACATTGATGTTGATTGCAATATGAGGCAAAACTAATTACACCAGCATTTAACAAATATTTTTTAAAGCATGATTGTTAGGTTATAGCTGTGAGATCTAGAAAGTCATCTGATAGTTGATTTTATTACTACTGGAGAGGAAAAATGTCTGCTACTGCTATGTATAGCTATGTTAGTTAATAGATATTGATCAAAATAAAACTTCTGGGCGGTTCAAAACTGGAGTTCGGACTTTTTTTGTTAGATATTACATAATTTTCTTGACAAAGAAATATGTAAATAGATACATACCCTCCAGCAATCAAATGTATGATTGTATCCCTTTGACTTTGAGTCATATCACACGTATTCACAGTAAATTTCACAAAAATAGAGATTATATTTTTCCTACACTGCAATTCTACGCATCTGTTTACACTTTCATGTTTATTCAAATGCCGAAATACAGAGTGGCCATAAAAAAGCTAAGTTGCAGATCAGCAGGTCTTTGGGTTGTAAATATAACAACTTATGGAAATGTCCCTTTTCTTGCAATAATTCCGTCTACGAGACTAGATCGTCGCACAAAAATTTGAATAGCCTAAAGAATGCTGCAACTGGCTACATTTCAACTCTTCGTTATATTTTACATTGACACAAAGACGAAATTCGAATGTCGCATTCTTCTTACTGCAATGTCCCCCACTTTCTACTACCATGCTCCGATCACGTGGTAATGTTTACCCGGTACGTGCCGTGCCCGGTGCTTGCCACTATTATTTGAAAAAAAATGCACGATGTTTAATAATACAGTGATTTTGAGAAGACCACCAAAAAATTCAACAAACTAGGAGATGAACTTAATTATTTGGCAAATATCTTCATTTTCTGAAAGAACAGCCACACCTCAGTAGTAGGTTTGACACTGCGACGTGTTTGTGTTCAAAGGAGGCACTCAAAGTAGTCAGAAATTCAATCAGTGGAATTACAGACTCACTAGATCGGGCAGAATGGGAACGTAACAGCATTTGGGCAACCGACTTGATATTACTGCGACGAATTCGGATAAATGCCGCTATAATCGCACATCTTGTTATCGAACACGTAACTACGTCAGTTGAGAAAACATTTGCTGACCTGCGTGATATGATCAATAAGAACGTATTCAAGATTTTAGATCATGAATGGATCAGAGAACGTACAACGTAGTGGTGCGGTATCAAAAACACAAATACATAAAGTAATTATTGCCAACATTTGGAAAAATAAAAACTCACCCAAAACTTACGAAATAACTGTCACACATGCGCTAAGAACAGAGTCGGACTACCTCAATTACGTCATCTATAGAGTGTCCTAAGACGTTCTGTATTATTTGTTACTATACTGACGGTGGTTTGCACCGGTTCGGGTTAGCGCTAACTTCGAGTTAGTCTTTGCACCGTTATAGTTATCTCGGAGTTAAGACCTAACTCTGGGATAAATTTACCTCTCAGTTGAACTAGGTGTTAAGGCGGATAGCACCATGAAAATGTAGAGTAATACCTGCGCATCGCAATGCGTACTGACAATAAAAAAGGTTAATGTCAAATGACGTTCTTTTAACGCTTACGGAACCAAATTTGTGACTGCTAAAACCTAAAACTCTCTAATATTGGTTCTTGTAACTGTTTGTTGGGCTGTTTAGATTTCATTCCAGAATAATAAGGTCATCCTAGTCGAATTCTTCATTATTTATGGTTACGTCCATAATTACCAGGGTGCTTTGTGGACAATGCTGTCGGCTGCATGATGCGACTTGTCGATCCACAGCGGAAATATATATATTTATATATATATATATTTATATATATTTATATATATATACATTTATATATTTATATATATATTTGTGATTCTGTTTGGAAGTTGGGAATTTGAAAATATTTTATCCAGCCAAATCAAACACAAACGATAATCGAAAAGATAGCAAATAAACACAAACACTAAAATGTCAGAATTTTCGTCAATCTTTCAAATCCCAGCACAAATCAACAAACTTTTAGCACAGAACTAGCCTTTGTGGCAATATTGCCAATAAATGTATTAATTGTAAGAAATATCCCTATATTCTAAGCTTTTCAACATGACCTTTTGGTGGTTTATAAACCCAGAGTTAAGCCTTGACGGTGCAAAGCTACTCGAATTTAAGCTAGGGTTACCGCTAACTCCGAATTAAGTAACCCTTACCTTTAACCCAAAGCGGTGCAAACCACCGTGAGTGATAAAAAAAGTAAACACCTACGTATGTTTATTAAAATTCAAGAATTTTTTACATATCGATTTATCTTGCCATGAACAACAAATGATAAAATTATCAGGTTTTCTGTTGAGTTTTTGTGGTGGCTGCGTGTATTGTTTGGTGATAATCAAGCATTCAGTTTTCGTACATTTACGGTGTCATTTGAATGTTAAATTTCGTGTAGCTTATTGAGAAGCCTTTTTGTGATTGCTCAAAATGCCTAGATTGCGTAGAATTCGCCGGGTGTCCCAGCTAAGTGACTTTGCGAGGGGTCGAATTGTCGGGTTGCGTAAAGGACCAACAGATCCTTATGCAGTATACTGCAGTGTGAACGAGCATGGACTCAAAAAGACCGAGGACAACGAGCGAGGGGTTCTGGACATCCCAGAGTGACAACAGAGCGACAAGACCGCCGGTTAAGACTTCTGGCTCTGAGAGATATATTTAGTAGTACTCGAGCCATCGCTAATCAGTGGTTTGAAGAGCATGGAAGGATGGTTGTGTTACCTCTCACAGCTGAACATCGGCGTAATCTTTTGCTCTGGTGTAGAGAGGGAATTCTATGGGACCGGGAATGGAATCAGGTGGTCTTAAGTGACGAATCCCGCTTCTGTCTGGGGATGCACGATGGTCGGGCAAGAGTGAGAAGGCGACGTGGTGAAAGACGTGACCCACAATTTGACAGAGGGCGTCAAGTTCACCACACCATGGGAGTTATGGTATGGGGTGCTATCGCTTAAGGTAGCAGATCGCCACTAATTAACATCAGAGACAATATGACAGCCCGACGCTATACTCAGGAAGTAGTGGGGCCTCATGTTATTCCATACCTAAACACCATCCAAAACCAGATTTTTCAGCAAGACAATGCCAGACCGCATCTTGCCAAAGCATCGCCGGAATTCATGGGTCAACATCGCATAAACCGTTTACCTTGGCCATCACGACCGCGTGACCTATCTCTAATTGAACATGTCTGGGACATGATAGGTCGAGGGTCTTGAATTTGCAACACCCTCCACAGACTTCAGCAGCTCTTACTCACGAAGTTGCAGTAGCCTGGAATGAGATACCCCAACAGGATATCGACCACCTTATCAGCACGATGCGTGTCAATGAGTATGTAAAAAATCGTGGACCCTCAACACATTATTGAACCAGCTTCTGCAGTCGGTTTACGAATCAAGTTGAAAATTTAATTATTTTACTAGTAAGGGACACAACATACAATGCCAAAAATTATTAAAATCGGATAAACATACCTAGGTGTTTACCGTTTTTTGTCACTCAGTATATGTTTGTACGAATCCGTCAACCTAGAACGGTTATAAAACGGTTCTAGCAATATTCTGGAAGTACGCCGAACTGTTTCTTTTGTAGAATATTCCGGGAACGATCTACGTCGCTTTAGAGATGAAACAAAAACGCAGTGGTAGTTACCTATCAGAACTGTCAAACTATAATAGTTTCCACGAATATCCATTACGTGTTGAAGCCTACTGAGGTAAGGTGATCAGCAAGTGACATAATTTCTATTAAAGTCTATAGTATTGGTAATAATGAAGATTTTGTTCATATTAGAAAAGGTAAAATTTATCCGACTGAACGCCAGTCAGAGAAGCAGGTTTTCACGGTTAACGGTAATGTCAAACATCAACAAAAGCTAAAGTTTTTGTTAATAACACAAATGGAGTGGAACATAATTTGCAACATGTGATTTTTATCCAATATTCATTACTCCCCTCGAAGTCAAAGTGACGATGATATATCGTATCTACAAATGTTCTTCATTTCAACAAGTTAGATACACTTCCCAAGTCATAATTTGAAAGTACCCAATACAGGGGATCAAACCTCTATCAATAATTCTGTCATATACTGCCACACATTTGACCTAATAATATGTATGGCTGTTTCATTCCCCATACAGAATCATCTCATATTTCAAGCTTCAAGCTCTAGAAAGTAAAGATGATTAACTTAGTAAAAAACTGTTTATCTTGTTTTATTCCAACTGACTTGAAATGTAGTTATAATCATTAGCAGCTCTTTTGCTCGTGGCGTTTTTGTTGTGAGCGAAGGAACTTTTCCAAATAAAAGCTTTGTTAAAAAGTACAAAATTAATACGCAGCATGCAAAAACCACACCCAAATACGACTGTCTACCTGGCGTTGCCAATCCATCAGAACTGTGTTTCTGTCATGGTCGACGCAATGGATACTCGTGAAAAATAGTATACAAATTATTAGTACACTATAGTAATGGTCCAACATCACATTATTTCCAATGGTTTGACACCCGATTGTGAACCCCTTCAACGCGCATGCGTTATCAAAAGACTAGTATCAGACGGTTTAAAATTTGATTCTGCTAGAACAAATTTTTCTTCAGTCACTTTGCGAGTCACTCTAAAACGATCCATGAATTCACTTCCGTTGTAAAGAGGTACCGTTGAATTGTTTTTTCGAACATGAAGCAGTATGTACAAAATGTTTTCATCATCACTCGAATCGATATCTAAGTTCCAATCGTATTCTGAACTTGAACTATGAGAATCTGGCATTTCTGTGAGCAATACAAACAGGCATACTCAATAAAAAACTGGTAGGTACACAGCAAATTTTATAAAGGTGCAACAACACTGAGAAGGTTACAAACTCTCAAACATAATCCAGAAATCATAACCCCAAATCCTAAGGCACCCATAACCAAACAAGATCTTGTGCAATATGTGCATGACAGAAACTCCCGAGTCACGCCAAAATCCTGTGCCGACCGTCCGAAACCAGTTTTCAAACAAAACATTAGTTTGCAGAAACAGCGCACCAATAATCCCCAACTAGATTTTACCTTTGTTTGAAAATGTTTTCTCCACTCCAACATTACTTATGTCAGACTGACTGACGCTTACTTGGAAAGTATTTCTATAATAAATCATGGTTCGCTTACACCCGTTATTTCCTTAGCCATACCCAGAAATGATAATATGAGAACCAAGATGAATATAGGTCAGGCCCTGGCTTTCATCGGGGATCCTGGAATTTTCAGACGGTTCGTTAGAAAGACGAAAACCCCTTGTTAGGAACGTGTTTTACGGGTGATATGGTTCATATTTAATATTGATTTACATTTTTAGTGGAAGAGGGTAACATAACTTATCCTACGCCACTGCTAATGCGCTGCGAATTTATGTACGTGTCCTCAGAGCACAGACATCACTCTACTCAAAGACACGTGATGACGTTAATAGTGTCGTACATGATACATTACACTACATTTTTTTATCTTGGTATTTATATAATATTACACAACTGGGAGTTATGGACGGCTGTGGAGCTGGGAATTTTCTGTTTAGAGCTAGGAAGTACCCTGCAAGAGGAAGCTTTTTGTATAATGTGATTACTGTTTAAAAATGTGTGGTGCGTAGTAAATTTTCTCAAAGGGATGCAGTCTTGAATATGTTAGCCAAAACTATGCTAAATACGCAAAATTTAGGAGACAGCCAGAATCTCAGGGGGCCGTGCTTCATCTCGTCTCCCTCTGCGATCGCTCATGTTGATAGGTGGACAGTTTGTCGGCTTCTTTCTAATCTGGCGATATGTCAATGTACTTTGCTCCTTTGAACTCTACATGATAGGTCTGCCAGTTTATGTTTTTCATAATTCGATCGAGCTATATACTTTGAAAACTGACTATAGTAACATCAATACTTTGCTCCTATACGGGGCTGATAATGTTGAACAGTATGTTAAAAGATACTTTTTTAGTTCTATACCTATCTCTGGCAGCTCAAAGGTCAGAATAATAATATATCAACTTCTTTTCGAACAATCGCGATGCCTTCGTATTTATCCTGTGTCAAGCTTTTCGCTTCTTTTTAACTCCCGGTTATAAAAATAGGGAGTTATAGCTTTAACGTGCCTATCTGCCCTATAGCTTTCAAACGGAGGAATAAATTTTTTTTTTCTTATTGATATGTAACTTGTCGAGAGTGTTATTGACTCTCGAAGCAAGACAGCATATCCAAGCTTTAAAGTCGGTTCTATTTTTATTTACATTTGTAATTAGGCACAATTTAAACTCAGTTGTAACTTTGATTTTCTTTTTTTCTAAAGTTCTATACTGCGGGCCTGGATCCACCACTGTGCTTTGTTGCTGTCAAATGAAGTAGCTGTCTGTCATTCTATTGTCAAAGTCAAGTGATTGTCAAATGTGATCTAACAATCTAACAACAAAACTAAATGGAATTGTAAACAATTTTTCAATTTTTGCAAATTTGCAGACGAGAATCATTTCAGGAATGTCCGCTTTGAATATGCATAATAAATGGCACTGCGCAGCTAATCCAATTGCTAAGACTCTATGAATTTTATACCATTTATATAATAAAAATGTGAAACTTTAGAATGAGGCTGCCTGATGGAAAATAAAGGCTTTTAGCAGTTACAAAAAAATACCGCAAATGGTACTCAAAGCCATACGGATGCCTCAAAGCAAGGCTATTCATTGTTATCTTCTCATGACTATATGGATCTTATTGATCATTATTGGTGTATACAAGTTCATTGAACCTAAAGAGAAGTTGGTAGAGCCCATTTTAGAGACAGCAGATACATGGAATCGACTAAGTGTTGATGTCAAAACCAAAAGAATATTTAAGATATGCAATTTTCCTGAGGAGATTACACCTGGTAGTGAAGGTACTTGTATAAAAAATAAAATAAATGAGAAAAATGGAATATTTGTTCAATACATTATATTTCCAGGAATTTTGCCAAGCCAGAAATGGATGCTTAAGGGCTTATTAATTTTGATAAGGCATGGCGACAGAGGGCCTCTGCAGCATGTCAAGAAAATATCATCTATCAGTTGTAACTCTAAAAATACTGATTTGTTAACTATGTACATGGTAAGCCAATTTTAATTTTATAGAGGCAAAATCATGATCTGGTAAATTAAACTTAATACCTTTTAGGCAGTTAGCTATAAAACACAAAAGTTTCTCCTCAAAGCCTCCACATCATCAATCTTCCAGATCATAATGCATAATGAGGAAGAATGACATTTTTTTGTTCAATTCGCATAAATATGCTCATTAAATAGAATCATGAGTAATTTATTATTTTTAATATGTTCTCTTAAATACCACCTAAAGAAAGACTTTGGAACTAATCAAATTTTTCTTGAAGGCTGCATGTTTCAGTCAGATATTCTATTATAATATTCAGAACATTTCAATGGGTTCAATTTATTTATATGGATTTCCCCTCAAATATTCAAACCATTTTTTGCCCAAAAAGAATGGTCTGACAAACAGTTATCAAGAGAGACAATTTATGTAAAATAAAGTACTTTATGTAAAGGCAGATTAAAAATCGGATTAACAAAGTTTCTTCATGCCCCTCATAGCAGCTGCTGTGCCTTGATATTTAGACTTCTGCCTATGTGGCCGCTTTGGTATAAAAAAAAAGTCCACTGAATGGATGAAGCACTTTATTTTAATTCATATAATCAAAATATTGTTGATACTCTGCTGATGCATACAAAATAAACCTACCACTATATCATATTTTTCTGGCAACATTACAGATGTTGGATGTATATTTATAGAGTATATACATTTAAATTTTAAAAGGTCAATATTCCTATGTGCTTGGCAAACCTTTGGATGCATTGTTGTATTATACTACATCCAATCTTGATTGACACAAAAATAACAAAATACTTCTATAAAGTGCTATGTTTTATCAGTCAAGTCATAAAGCTGTAATCTGCTTTTTGTTTCCTTGAGATGTAGAATATTACTCAGAAACTAAATAATCCCTTCAAGGGCATATTTGGAGGGCTTCAAGGTTTCAGCCACCATGTATACTCTGTTGAGCCTCCACCATAACTTTTTTATGCCAGTGAATATGTTGAATGAAGATATATTTTCATATGATATAATATGAGTGGTTACAATGTTCCAATATTATTGACATGAGTTTAAAAGTTCTGAAGGAGGCTCAAATTTGACAAAAGGTATAATGCCATCATGAAAAAGATCTGTAAGTCAGAAAACAAAAACTGGCCACAGAATTAAAAAAAAAATCATCGTCAACAATCAATGTTTCATAAATAAATTCTCCAATGAAATACCAATGATGCTACTTTCATCTGATGACAAACATGTTGCAGTTGCTTTTCCAGTTACTATATTCAGGTTGGTAGTGGTGCATGATGTATTTTGCTATTATTTTCCTTTTCAGTACCATACTAAATATAAAGAGATATGCCATTCAAAACGCGAATATGTGGCAACATAACGTAGAGGTCCACCAACAAATCTACAAAATATGACTTTATTTTAAAAAATTCGATACAATTGCGATTCGATCAGTTTCGCATTCGTTCTTTCTATTCTTTCTGGATAAGATTCAATTTTTTTTAAGTTACAGATCGATATAGATCCACTAAAAAAAATGCTATTGCTGATTTATATAAAAAAAAACGTACTAGGCCATGGCGTGCGGAGGCTGTGGGGGGGCCCCTCCCTGAATACGCCCTTGTTTGTAGATCATTAATTCCTGTCTTATTCGTAGGCATATCTCACGAATCAGACTTTATCAGGTAAGGTAACATGGGCTGGTCCAGGACCATTTCATGGATTTTCATTCCTTCCCACTCATTCAACACAATGCCAGTTGGGACAATTAACAATGCAAGGTAAAATTCTATTTGTAGATGAATGAGATGTCACATCTAATCAATACCATTTTTAGGCATATCACAATTGTTAACACTCGGGCATATTATGAAAAATAGTTACGTAAGTGTATGGGAAAAACTGAAAACGTTAGATGTTCAAGATATTATAGTGTATAGTACCAGATATAGAAGAACATTCCAATCTGCTTTGGCCCTACTATTTGGGCTTATACCTCATGATACTTTATCTAAAATAAATTTATATGAAAGCCAAAGTATGAGCTTTTGTTTTAGGGATTGTGGTTGTGTTGCTACAGATAAACTATGGAAGTAAGTTTAAAAATTCTAGTAACGATTTCCACATAGAAAAAATGCATTTTAAATAGTCGAAATAGATTGTATTCACTTTTCAAAGAGCATGCAGTTTATTTTTGTTTTTTGCTCAAATGTTCAACGGAAGCTTTTGAAATTTGTACAAAAAAATTCCTCTTAGGTAATCAAATATACTAATTAGTTTCTGTGCAAAGTAGACAAAATGCTACAGGTACCCTAAATCCGGAAATCCCCATTTTTTTAACTTAACCCTTCAACTGCCATTGTAGATCTTCTTCCTTCCAAATTGAATGAGCAAACACTTATGTGACAATAAATCTTCAAAGCTGAAAGAACTCTAGGCTTAGTCATCCTAATGAATGGCATTATTTTGGGTATTAAAAGCATTACTGAAATAGTGTAGCATTACCTTATCCTGTAAACCCAATTACCAGCCTTATGTCATTCCACTAGAAGACAGTAAATCCTTGAATATGATTATTAGATTCCATAAATATGACGTTTGAGTTTTATTCCTTCTATATCCCATCGGTCATTCTTTTCTTTTTCATAAAAATTGTTGAAGCTCTGAAAAGAGCCCTTATTTGTGTCTATATTAGGCGATATTTACAGATGTTCGAAGCGTCTTCCTTCTGCTGTAACGCAAGCTCTGCACCGTCGTAGGAAATTTCTTTCAACCTGCTGTATCATTTGTAGATTACTGCGGAGGCTGCTGCTGGCAGTAGCAATCTGTTCTCTTAAAACTTGTACGGTTAGAGTTTCATTATAAAAACACTACTTCTTTCATATAACACCATACAAAGAAATCGATGGGGTTGAGGTCTAGTGAACGAAGCGATAACTCAAAAACCGTGCACGATCGGATAAGGACATAAATAGTTTTTCTGATTGCAAATAACCCCACCCCCCAATCACCCACTTTGACTTTTGGGACACCATGTATAAATGTTATTTTCTTATCATGTCTGATGGAAGCCTAACCTGGAAAGAAGTAGTAGGATCACATTCTAAGGACTAGGCATGGAGAAAGAACGTATTTCGCCACACTTGAACGTATGACGTCGCTGCTTTGGTGCTAAATTATAAGTTTTACCTTTGAAGAACATGAACTTCATAGAAAAAGCAAAACTCAAAATACACTTTCTGGGGGCAATATATTGGTATTCCGTTTGAGTGGGCCAAAATACCTTATTCATTACCTTCATCATCAACTATATTATAGGAATCCACCGAGTGATACTTTTTTCAAAATGTCGAGTACCGAGTACTCGGTCAGATTCAAATACTAGGTGGATATTATAACTGTTGTTAGATCGTATTTACGTTTTTTATCCGTCCCTTTATTCTCATGGCTGATTTACTTTTCCAAGAAGTTAACGCACCACCAAAAAAAACCGTGTGACAGCTAGGTATATTATCCATATTTTGATATCATATTTTTCGAATATTTGTTCCTTTCTGTTACAAGAAAAGATATTTTGAACCTACATTTTTTAGACTAAACTTTATAGCTGCTACAAAAGAAACACAAAGCAACACTGCTAGATTTCGTGGCGGGACCATTTCAGATTAGGATTAAATCAAACTTGTCCTTATGTATGGATAAATATTTTCTTTCTGGAAATGTGGGATACTATGTATTCTCCTTACTTTTTGACGTTTTACGTTTGCTATATCATTTAATTTCGTGTAGTTTTTGTTTTTGTTGTTTTTTGAGAAGTGATATGAAAGACAAAATTGCAAATGAAAAGTGCGAAAACAGTGCTGTTTCAGTTTAACTAGCTGCTGCATGGGCGTATTTTTACTAGAAAACATATAGTGATCCCTTGTATATCAAGAATAAGCGACACGAATACCTTAAACATACTAGTTTACTGAAGAAGACTGTAAACACTTACTAAAAATCATCCAAATCAGGCTTTTGATACGGAAAAAAATATGTTGTAATCTTTGCTATCGTTTTGTAATTGTGAGTAAATTTTCTTGGAGAACATATCAGGATGATTTGGGAGAAGCATATGAGCTCAGCTTAGTACATCGCATGTAACCTAATACTCGGAGAAACCCGGAACGCGGTAAAATGGGCCAAGTACCAGGTACAACCCGAGTATTCGGTGCACCCCTACTATATTCCTTCTGATTTTCAGAAATGTCAAAAAGAAAATATCGCAACAGCTACGATCGCATCCTGCCATCGAACATTTGGCGGAATCTACGGGAAAATATTTGTTTTCTTCGAATGCTGAACAGGGTGTTTTAAGTAAAGACCCTCATTCTGTACGCGATGCATTGCTGAGTTTTGTTTGTCATAGAAACTCGTTGCCTTGTGAAATGCCCGTCGGTTGCATAAGGTATTTGTGAAAAATGATTATACTACGCGTAACAAAAGTATCGGAACGGCTCGGTATTTTTACCGATAAGGCATTTTTGAAAAATATCAATGTCAGTTCTTATAATACCTTTGAACAAGAGGAGATCAACAGATAACTTGGATTTTCCCTTGAGAGTCACCGCAAGGTTATTTCAGGTCAACATTCGTTTTGGGAATGGAATGCCCAATTTTTGCCACCGGCAATCGATGGAAAGTAAAATTCTATGTATTGAAATCCAAGATCAAAGTCTCCCAAATGGTCAAATTGTGAGGCTAGGGAAAACTCGTAGAAGTTTAGTAGAATTACTGAAAACAATTGACACAAGTGGATAAAGGTGTCATGTAACATTTTTCAAAAATTGCTTTTTGTGCATTACACTAATTTTAAGGAGGGATTCTTTCATTCTGTGATTACTTTGTTGCAAAAACAAGATAATAACAAACTAATTAAATTAAATATTTAAAATTTCAATAAAATAAAAATTTCCAATAAAAAATGTTTAAAGCCAATTTTCTCCATACAGTGATTTTGTTTATCCACTTGTGTCTTTCAGTTGAAGGGTACAGGAGAAAAAGGTGAATGTCACAAAAAGTAAGTTTCGAGAAAAGAGAATTTAAAAGTTTGAAGACTCCTAGACTCGTTGTACAGGGTCGGTTAAAGATCTGACGGAGTAGCATAGATTATTTATGTCATTGAGGAATTGAAAAAAAGCTAAATTATAAATAATTTTTGTTGATATACACGGTAGCCCAAAACTGAAAGAAGAACAAACATTTTTAATGGAAAATCCTTTTTATTTTTTGTATTTTAAGATTCTCCTTATGGTTTTAAACATTTTTTATGTGTTAGCGTCCAAGCCTGAATTCAACCATTTTTGAGATATTGCAGTTGTGAATGAACCTTTCGCCATATGCGACACTCTGTAAAATCTAAGGGTTGATTAACCAGCAAAATTCCTATGTTGAGTTTTACGATCTGTTCTAATATGAGAACTATCTTAACCGGAAATTTATTACACGGGGACTAGAACATGAGAAAAAGATGATGCGAGACACACTCTGTAAAATCTAAGGGTTGATTAACCAGCAAAATTCCTATGTTGAGTTGTACGATCTGTTCTAATATGAGAACTATCTTAACCGGAAATTTATTACACGGGGACTAGAACATGAGAAAAAGATGATTTTCTAACCTCAATAGCCCATAAAGAGTTATTTCTAAATAATAAAAAAAAATAATGAACAAAAAAAGATTTATTCAAAAGAATATGCAACAAAAAAAAAATGATGGTAACTGCTCAAAAATAATTATTTAACGTGTGTTTCTTTCGTCGCAGATTGGTGTATGGTAAATTGTTGTAGTAGCTACTTTATACTATAGTTTTGGTGACCATCAGTGAACGTTCATCTTTTTTCATAGAACGGCTGTGACATTCATCTTTTTTCATTGCACGGCAAGTTTTCAATTGGATATAACTACGAATTGTACCGAGTTAAGATAACATGTTGCTAGTTACTACATCAAATTTGTGACTTTCATCTTTTTTTCATCAGTACCCTTCAATTATAAAGTACAGGTCTTTAATAATTTTCAACAAGGATTTCAGTGGTGACATTGGATTCAACATTGAAGGTCCACTTCAACGTCAACTTTTGTATTTACAATTGTACGGTCTAATAAAAAATCATGTCCTAGTATGGCATCAATGCAAATCCAATGTGAATATTGTAATTATGGTTAAAAATTCCTGAAGGCCTGGCCTTAATTTTTTTTATCAATAACCTGCTAAACTTCTAGGAATTTTCCCTGGCCTCACACATTTGATCTTCATATGACCCTTAAAAATGATCTTAATCTTAGATTTTAATAAACATTCGGAAGCAGAATGTTTTATTCTTTCGATTACCGGTGTCCATTCAAAAAATAAAAGTTGATAACCTTGGAGGTAAGGCTCAAGGTCAAATCCAGGGTCATTGTTTAAAGTTTGAAAATACCTGCTGACCTTGACTTCTATCAAAAGTACCTTACCTGGAAAAATAAAGAGCTGTTTGCTTACACTGGATATAAAAAGCGATCTTAAATACACGTTTATATTTTTCAAGCTTTGATACATTATGTTTTGATGACATGTACGGTATAATATCAGTTTAGCTTTGCGAAAAGTTGGTTACGAGATTATTTCCCACACGGGAAAGTATTTTAATTACGAAACAGAAATATTAACATTACATATTACCATCGACCTTTCTGTCTGATAATAATAGAGGCAAATATATGCTTCGGTAAGGGTGAAATTTATTGAAAGAAAGTTGTAGATTCTTGAAACACGAGTGCTTTTGCTTTGCTTTTGAAAAAGTATCCAAAGTATACTAAAGAAAGATATTATTGTTAAACACAATTTCACTGTCATGGTTGCGTTGAACCGTCTGTTGAGAAATAATATAATATGATCTATCGAAATAAGACAGCTCAAAGTACGATTTACTACCAGAAGCGACCACTGCCAAAGTGAGTAGCAACTATCGGTTTGATAGCCGGCTCACCATTGTGGCCGTTAGATGCTGCTGATTCTGGCGGTATAGTAGATGTGGTCTAAATACTGCTTTCATCCATTCGACCGCAGATAGCCAACCATGAACTGCTGTTTCGTGCTAGTTGACAACTCCTCATCACGAACTAGGCTTTTTCTCAGGTAGGACAATGAAATAAAGCATAGCAACTGTCCTCTATCTGAGATATAAAATCTTTCGAAATAAGAGTGAGTAGAAGCCACTGGTTGGTACTGTAAAAATATTTCACTTTGAGATTGATAGCCGGTCACTATTGTGGCCGCTAGATGCTGTCGGTTCTGGCGATATAGGAGATATGGTCTACTCGCTATTGAGCAACTAACAACAATATCTCTGATCGAGGATAGTTGCTATACATCCATTCATTGTCCTTCCTGATTGCAAGCTTAGGGCGTGGTGATGAATTGCCAAAAAGCACGAAATAGCTGTCCACGGTTGTCCGTGTCAGACGAAAGCAGTATGTTTAGTACAATATTAAATGATTTGGGTTTACTCTTCCTCCGCCACATTGAGTAAACTCTAGATAGCCAACCTGCTAAATGATATTTTTAGTGTAAAAAAGTATGCTATCAGATCCTTAGTTGATTATTTTTTGCAGGAGACAAAATATTGTTGGAATATTCGCATACACAGATTGGGTGAATTACCAAAAATGGAGAAATATCAGTTGGAAGAGATATTGTTTACTAAAATCCTATGGGTTAATCAGGCACATCGTTCAGCAAATGTTACACATGGTAATTTGGTTTAATAGTAATGGGCAACATGGAACCCTGCGCGACCGCAGTTTGACGCAATATTATCATGTGCGACTACTATCTTATTTTCTCCAGAATCTACATAAAACAAACCTATTTCTTTGATGATTTGCGTGCGAAAATCCAATATATTTGAAAGAATTCTTACAGCTTTACAAACTATAATAATAATATAAGCACATTTAATATTGCTCTATAGCATGAATCAGACATTATTTTCCTGCTTTTAAGAATCGTGAAATGAACGGGAACGTTATAGGAGAGGTTACCAACACGTCTTATGAGAATATATAATAATTATATATATTGAGTTACCCTTGGAATTAAATACGAGGTATCCACCGCCTGTTTTCATTGTATTACGTCCAAGAGAACTTCACATAGGATGCTAGAGCGCGATATTACTAAGCCAATTTTCAACCAATGAGAAGGCGTCTTTGAAGTAATGGATCTAATGCATATGGTCGATTTCTTGTAAAATGTCTCTCAAACTAGTGAATAGTTATCCGGTTTGATTAAGATGGGCCATTTTTCAATTGCTGTTAAACACTAAATTGGCGGCCTTGGTCTCTGCTGGGCAGTAGGTTGACGCTTGACAACTTCTAACGTTGCGATTCAAAGTGTTCGCGAAGTCGTCCTTCCGTCCAAACTTCTCCCTGTTAACAGTAACAGGGCTGGCTTGAGGAACAGGGTTTATCGCACGGTAGTCAAGTAAATTGATTATTTACTTTGTCTTCAAAGAAGTTATAAATCAGATTTTTGTACAGCACAGTGAGTCACTGTTATTTTCAATAAAATGCTCAGTAATGGCGTCATATCAATTATTGTATGAGGTTTAATCCATGTTTCGAGTAGGCCACAAATCCTTTTTGATTGGTGGAATTTGCCTCAACTTTTGTACTCGGACGCAAATGAGAAATATGTTTTCGTAGCTGGATCATGTGATATATGAAATATTTCGTTATTTAACATCTTACACAAATTGTATAATTAGTTTGAGAGATATTTTTTAAGGAATCCACAAAATTTATTAAATCAATCACTCCAAAAAGGCTTTCTTATTGATTCAATTTGTGCCAAAGACGCAAATTTTGATTCCCGCCGGGCCTAGATGACGTTTCGTGACGCCAACGAAATCTTTATTTTTCAACTAGTATGGCTGCGCCATAAAAGACAGGATCAATTCGCAATATATTTATGTAAGCATATTGAGAACTGTTTCTGTATTGTAGGTATCTGGTAATGGTCCCAGCTTAGTCCTGTACTCAGGTCACGATCACACCTTAGAACAGCTGGCATCTGCGTTAGGTTTACACCACGATTCCTTCCTTCTAAGGTACGCAGCACGTATCATTTTCGAAGTGTATCAGGAAAACAGAACGGTCAATCAGGCAGAAGGAATATACTTCCGGTTATTAGAAAATGGGAAAGATGTCACCAAACAAATAGGATTCTGTAAAAATACGGTGAAGGTGGACAGCAAAACGAGCTTGTGTAAGATGGAAGATATTGTCAGGTTTTTACACGATGATTACTTCTCATCCTTGAACGTGACTAATTTCAAAGATGCCTGCACTCAGAAATATGTTTGGTAGTTTTGTCGTTATAATTTAAATTTATAGAGATAAAGTATGTTGCCGAAATTCTAAAGTATTTTTTTTCCTTTTCTGTCTCAGATTTTTACCCATTTGGTCCCAGAAAGGAGTTAACTGTCCATGAGCTATATGCAGGGGTATTAAGTAAACAATCGATATGTAATTAAAAATCGGTATAATGTCAACTTGTGTACTAGCTACTCGCCAATCCGTGGAACACGTACTGCTGTGAATGCCACTTATGAGAAAATGCAACAATGACCTATCGTATAGAATTTGTAGCTTAAGCCATATAAGCTATAAACGGCTTCCGTTAGTGCCATTTCTGAAGCAGATGTTACAGTTCATCAGAGTCAAACCGCACAAATAGCTCGCTGAACTATCCTGTCACTGTCAAAAACGGCCTCCATTTCGGCGTGAAAGTCGAATATAAATTCCAGCAGTATAACGATGAAAGTGGTTTTAGTGCTCAGCAGCAGCCGATGTTGCCACCGAGCCCTGCCTGCGGTTGCAGCTATTATTTGCAATCATAAAAATTATACTATTCCGATATAATCTGGTGTAGTTTGTGTGAACTAATAATAAAAATTAATATGTTTGTCCAAAAAGAAGCGACGAAGCATTAAAAGCATTAAAAAGTTGTAAAATTCGTATTGGTGGAAGTATCTACAATAAACAGAAAAGTAGTTCCGATATTTTAAATACCTAAAAATGTTAGTTATAAAAATTGTAGACTATATATACAGTGTGCGCCATCTTTTATGTCGGTATGTAAACATTGAAAACGAAAAACTGATTTCTATATATCGGGTATTTTTATTAAATATGGTCCTTTATAATTTATTGGGACTAGTTTTTGAACACAACATCTATCAAGTTCAATACAATATATTACAAAATGATGCCCACCTTTATTGACCAAAACAAAATGTGCCCCTGTGGTATAGCGGCGATTGCGGTACGAATGTTTGCCTTGAGTTCTTCAGTGGTCTGGAGCTTGCTGGCGTACACTTGACTTTTCAAATAACCCCACAAGAAGAAGACCGTTGGGGTCAAATCTGGAGACCTGGGTGGCCAGTTAATGTCACCTCTTTTTGACATCAGACGTCCAGGGAATTTTCGTTGCACAAACTGGATTGTTTCATTTGCAGTGTGCATGGCGCGCCGTCTTGTTGAAACCAGTAACCATCAAGACCTTTTTCACGCATTTGTGGGCAGACATAATGAGCCAACATCCACCGATACCGATTTCCTTCGACTGGTTCGTTTTCGTTGTAGAAAAATGACCCAAACAGTCACTTTCCGGTCATACAACGGCATTTCGTGTCCCCCAAATGCGGCAATTTTGCTTATTAACGCCGCCAGAGAGCGCGAAATGGGCCTCGTCGATCATCACAATTTGCTTTCAGAAATCAGGTTCAGCATCAACCATGCGAGCGACTGTTTGGGCGTATTCCAAGCGTCAGTTGGCAATATTTTTTGTGTTAACTGCACCTTATAAGGAAACAAATGCAATCATCCTTCAAAATGCGCCGCAACGTGGTTCCACTGATGCCAAAATGCTGAGCGCGGTGACGATACGGCACTTTTGGGTTCTGGGCAACACTAATCAAATTCAAGCGGATAACCAAATGCAAATGGTGTTTACCATTTTGGGTTGGTATTTACCGATCCGTTCAAGCGAGTGTGGTTATCAGTTTGGTTATAAGATCCGTGACGTCATGAATCAGCTGTTATATGTCACAGTTATCACCGCAAAATTGTGGTATTTACCCAACTCAGGAGTAGTTTTATATTTCTGGTTATTATTTGAAATATGACAAGTTAGAATTTTGGCGGGTATTGGATATTGTTATTGTACTTCAGCCTCATTTTAGGGAATCACTTGATACAGGCTGACTTCAGTGTTAGCATAAAGTGGAGCACCTTATTAGTTATACTCATTACTGTTGTTGAGCAACACTTTCAATCTAGTTCCTATGTTTAACAAAGTATCCTGTGTAGCCATAAACCACAAGAATATTAAAATATGACCATTTAACTCACTGGATGATGTCTACCTGTATACGGTTTTGCTAATATCTGTTTTCATCGTTTTTTCATCATTTCTGCTAAATCAATAAATGTTTTCTTTGACATGCGGAAAACTTTAGAGAATTGAATGTTATCATAGCTACAAAACCATGGTTCCATCATTAAAAAAATTTTTCTGAAAAAAAAACATTTCTCCCATGAATATTATGAAAGGTTTCTTATTTAAACTTTACATACACCGTTGTAGACAAAAAAGCACCGATTATTAAGTGATAATAAAAATAATTAGAGATTATATACGCACTTTTCTAAAATAAACAACTTGCAACAAAACCGCGGTTAAAACCAATGCGTTCAAGCGATTCGTATAACTGACGTCATCAACCCGTGTGTCATCTTGAACCATATTATAACCGCGGCACATAACACAGAAATTTTGGTTATTCGCTTGGATTTGATTACTGTCTCTAATCGCTTCAACCAATTCATTAATCAAATCCAAGCGGATAACCAAAATTTCCGTATTATGTACCGCGGTTATAATATGGTTCAAGATGACACACGGGTTGATGACGTCAGTTACACGAATCGCTTGAACGCGTTGGTTTTAACCGCGGTTTTGTTGCAAGTTGTTTATTTTAGAAAAGCGCGTATATAATCTCTGATTATTTTTATGATCACTTAATAATCGGTGCTTTTTCGTCTATAACTGTATATGGAAAGTTTAGATAAGAAACCTTTCATAATATTCATGGGAGAAATGTTTTTTTCAGATTTTTTTTTAATGATGGAACCATGGCTTTGTAGCTATGATAACTTTCAATTCTCTAAATTTTTCCGCATGTCAAAGAAAACATTTATTGATTCAGCAGAAATGATGAAAAAAGAAATTAGCAAAACCGTATACAGGTGGATATCATCTAGTGAGTTTATATGGCCATATTTTAATATTCTTGTGGTATATGGCTACACACGATACTTTGTTAAGCATAAGAACTACATTTAAAGTGTCCGCAACAACCGTAATGAGTATAACTAATAAGGTGCTCCACATTATGATAAAACTGAAGTCAGCCTGTATCAATTTTCTCAAAAATGAAGCTGAAGTACAATAACAATATCCAATACCCGGCAAAATTCTAACTTGACACATTTCAAATAATAACCAGAAATATAAAACTACTCTTGAGTTGGGTAAATACCACAATTTTGCGGTGATAACTATGACATATAACAGCTGATTCGTGACGTCACGGATCTTATAACCAAACTGATAACTACAATCGCTTGAACGGATTGGTAAATACCAAGCCAAAATGGTAAATACCATTTCCATTTGGTTATCCGCTTGAATTTGATTATTGAAACGTTTTGGTCGTTGATGAACGGTATGTTGACAATCTCCCACTGTTCCCGTACTCAAGAGAATTCAAAACCAAACGACGGATAGTGTTGTCAGACGGTGCCTATTTTCGACGATGTGCACGTTCCGTTAACACAACTGAACGACGATTTTCAATGTACATTGTGACTATTTCGGCGCGTTGTTTCGGTGTAAAGCGATTCATGACTAAAATCACTCGGTTGGAAAATATCAAAGTCATTCGATGTTTCAATACCGACATAAAAGATGGCGCACCCGGTATATATAACTATACGCTCCTTGGAAAATATGCCGCTCTCCACAAGTTGATTCATAATTACATGACAACTACATAACATACATTTTTTAAACGAATTTGTTCAGAATGACTGAAGAATTAAAAAATATTTGTGCAAAATGGTTTAGTTTTACTGATGAACAATGTTTTTTCCGCGACAAAGACACCGAAATTCTTGGGATTGAGTAAAGGTTTATTTGTCTGGTGTTTTTAGCTCTGCTTACATTGAAAATGCAATGGATTCATTATATCGCAGCAACGTAACGTACATAGCAAGAGGAATTTTTCAACTAACGTATGTCCTAAAAATATGGCACAAAATAATATCAAGTTGCCTTTGGAAACAAAAGTTTGTTTACTTACTTTACTGTCAGTTGACATTTATTTACTTTGAAGTTTTCACTTTAACATGTATAAATTAGGAATAAGAAAAACTATCTACAAGTTGGTTGGGCGGTTACCCAAAGCTGAAATCTGTCGAATATTCCAGAATGAAAACATTTCACGTAGAACCATATATCGAACAATAGAGGAGTGCGAGCATGGAATACCATCCTGAGTCTCCCAAAAAGTGGAAGACCACGTGCATTTACTGCACAGAGGTCAGAGAGATTGGTGAGAAGAGCAAAAAAATCAGGTTGGAATGTCAACAAGCAGACTGGTTCGTCAATACAGACCTTCTAAAGCCCTGTTCGTACAGCTGCCGCCAACCTGTCAGTGATCGTGTTCAAGATCCCGCTACAGAAATTTCGTTCATTCTGCTACTCTATATAGACAGAATTTACAAGTCCAGATCCCAGACACTGTCACGGACAAGTCACCGACCACTGTACGAACATACCGTAAGAGTACGATATCATTGGAATTGAGGAGGAATGATCTTCAATATCGAAAGAGACTTAAGTGCCAAAAATAATCTCAAGCGCAACTTCTTCGCATACTAAGATACTGACTGAGCCTCAGCGGTGGCCGCAGTAGTAGACTCTTCGGTCTCCTGATCAGTCGCCGTGCGGGTTCGAGTCCCGTCCCAGGAGAAATTTTTCTCTTGGCTATGGATGTTGTGATTGTCCGTAGATGGTAGACGGTCTCTGACTGTCAGAATGTGTGCATGTTGCATGCAATTTCAGGGGTGTATCCCAACATTTTGTGGTGCTAATCGCCATATTTTGTCCAGACCTAGCATCATGTCATTACTAAAGAGATACTCAAAACTTGCTTCAACAACATAACATACCTTTTGTTCGTAAACTTGTCGCAGGCTCGCCCAATAGAGGATCTTTGGACTTTACTGTCTATGAAGGTTTATTACGGAGGCTGGAAAGCCTAAGATGAAGAACAATTAAGACGGCGAATTTACGAAAAACTGAGAGAAATTGATCTGAATTCGGTCCAGCACCTAATGAGAGACATTCGAAGAAAGTTGCGTCTGGTAGAGCAGAATGGGCCACTCTACATAATTCGATAGTATAGTTTAGTTAAGTATTGAGTTGTTATTTATGATGGTTAGTTAGTGTTTAAATAAATTTCTTTATTAACAAAAATCCGATAAATATTTTGTGCCAAAACTTTTAGTACATCCGTTATTGTAAATACTTCAACCATTACAAATTCATTTTGAAGCTTTTTCAAAAATAAGTAGTCATCTGTCGCATCTTTTCGGATAAACTTACTCATTTTCATTATTGATTCACACAAACTACATTAGATCATATTGAAATATTATCATTTTACGATTGCAAAGAATATCTGCAGCCGCTGGCATGATACGTGGCAATACCGGCTGCTGCTGAACACTGAAACCTCTTTCATTGTTGTACTAGGACATGCGATTATCTCCGGCGAAATGGCGGCCGTTTTTGTCACTGACACGAGTGTTTCATAGCTGATTGTTATCTAAACTGTGGTTATACTAAGCGACCAGAATATCTTTCTAGCAAAACAACTTCCCCTGTAGATTTTGTTTCTAGATCTTTTAGATTCAATACTAATTTCAACATGCTTGTACATGATATGTCGACTTTTGAAAGGAGCTACACCTTTAATGCTGTTGAGAATTACAATTCTGTCAACAGTGCATATTGATCTAAACCGGTAGATTCTTTCAATAAATTGATGAAAAGTCAGCTGCTCGAGTCTATCTATCCTTCTCTATTGTGCTCATGTGACTTTTCTTCTTTAAAAGCAACTTTTCGGATGTGGTGTTTCAGCTCCTAGGTCACTTTACACGCAGAATATCACTTGATCGTGCCTCGGCTCGTTGGAATTGTGTGTGGTATTTAAATTTTTAGAGCATCTGCAATTTTCCCTTTGTTTTATTGACAATACAGTAGGTGTACAGTGAATGTTATCATATGTTCTATCGTGAAAATATGTACTACTTAGCTTCCGGACTTCATTGGGGTAAACCGCTTGGTGGATCATTAGAATAAAATAAATAGCAACGATTTATCGGAAAAAATGCTGGATCCAACTCGATTTTGGAAAATTACGATTTTCTGGATATACACCATGTAAAGTGACCTACGGGTTGAAAAACTATGTTCCGAGGCACACCCGCAAAACTGCCTTCTGGGCTGCTAGAGTAGCATAATTCTACGAGATACATGCAAAAAAACCCTGAACCTAAATCGCTTTTTGATGTGTTTAGTATTAAAATTGAGGTAGGGCATTTTTGCAAATTTTTTATTTTTTTCATGTTGCTGCCCAATTTTGGAGTTCCTATTGGGAAGGAAGGGTATACTCGCTCAATACATAAAATAAACAATATTACTGGAAAACCACATCGATTTTCCGAAAATTCGTGCACACGATCGATCGGTTCTTCAACCACATTTTCTAGTCGAAAACATTTTGCTATCAATATACCGCTTACGTTTATTTAAAACTGTGTTAACAGTCCAGCATTCAGGAAGGTACTGAAAACTTATACAATGTTTTTATAATTCGCTCGGACACAAAATGCACGCTGCGCTCTCGTGTACTGCTCCATGGCGACTAAATTTCCAGGCAACGGCGCGGCTAACAGCTTATCCCCCCCAACGCGCGCCCCGCGTTTCCGAGAAATTTAAGATTTAAATCGCCAACACTCTTATGGCCCACCCTGTATAACAGTATTATCATGTAAAACACAGTATAAGAGAATAATAGACATAATAGTTTTATATTTAATTAAAGGTAAATATAAATAGTATTCAGATACTTCACACTTTCCCTGATTATGAAGCTTGACTTTGTAGTGCCTGCTGTTGTTGGGCTATTTTCATCTCTGTCACATCCATGATTGCGTCACTGATTTTTTTCTTTTCAATTAAAATGGCCTGAACTTTTTCCATCTGCTCTGTGACAAACTTCACTTTGCGCTGGAAGTAATCTTTTGCTCCAGCAATGTCCTGAAAACAATAAAAAAATATTCTTAAATGATTTAGTCAGCCAATTTATCATACTATTATACTTATACTGGCCAATTAATATACAGTAGAACCCCGATTATCCAAAATAATGTGGACCCAAGTGCTTTCGGATAATCAAAATTTCGGATAAAACGGAAATAAATATTTAGACTCATAATGCTTTTATTGAAAAGAGTAAATGCGTGTGTTAAATGACTATATACTATATAAAGTTACGTAAAATATAAATATGTCAATACAAACATACATATTTACGAGTATTTAGTAACAAAGCAAGTAATTTTTAACTGTAGACGTTTTGCATTGTTCCTATTTTTGGAAGCAATATCCCTCCAACGTTTGATAAGTAGCACATCAGCTGTTCTCGCATTTTCTTGTTGTTCGACGTAAGTCAACGCCTTTTGTAGAGCTAATCCTCCAGAATGTGATATTTTGGCACAGATTTCTGTCTCATTGACATTAGCATCACTTAAAACTGTCTCATCGCCATTGTTACAAACAGTTATTAGTTCTGTTTTGGAGATAAACTTTTCGCCGACAACATTTTATAGTTTAGGCCCGTTTCGTCGCAGTTGTACATTTTTTCTGGATTAAACCATACTGCATTATTTCTTCAAAATGTTCTCCAAATTTTAAGGCAGCGGACCTATATAACTTTTCTCCGCAAAACTTTTAATTCTCGTATATTGTGTCGTTTTTCCATCTATGCAGTCAACCACCACTGGCTGCACAGTTATCAGACGCCTCAATAACTGGCAATTCTTCACTTAAGTTGACCGCCTTTTAAACCACAGATATCCACTTTTTGATATTCCCCCTTTTTCATAGTTTTCCGTGACGGCGGCGATGATGTCAGAACACTAGACCACTTTTCAATTTTCTCGCGTTGTTTTTTCCATGCTGAAATGGTACTCACGCCCACACCCAAATCAGTTGGCACGTTTTTAAGCAAATTACCTCTATCTAAACGTCTGATTTCCTCAAGTTTCTGTTCTATGGCAATAACAAAGCGTTTACGTTTATTTCTATGCTGTTCCATCGTAGCGATTATGAACCCGACTCAAACAAACATACACGCACACCCCAAACATACCAGTGAATCAGCAAACGCGCTTGGGGAATCGTGGCAGCGAATCTGATGACGCAAACGCCGAAAGAGGAACTACCGGCGACTATTTCGGATCATGCGCCGATTTCCCGAACAACTTCGGTTAAAACGGAGAAATTATTGTATGCGACCTGTTTCGGATAAAGCGGATTTTGGATAATCGGGGTTGTACTGTTTTGGCAAATTAGGCTGATTCTGTTGATATACATAGCAGTATCGGTTGATGCACAGGATCAACAATATAGCCTATTTCATGAGTATCCATCACGCTTTGACGTCTACTGCTGAGAACACAGGATCAGCAAGTGATATTTTTGTGTTAATCTGCAATGTTGGCAATAATGAATCGGGTGTAAATCTAGTAAAACTTGTTTGTAGCGTTGTTTTTGTATGCAAATGAACTTTAGGAGCTTTTAACAAGTATAAAATGAATCTGTCGCGTACAAAAAAACAAAACCAAAAATATGGCTCTGCTTACCTGGCATTGACGCATCCATCAGAATTATGTGTCCTTTGCCGATATGGAGAATTTTCAAATATTACTAGATAATCCGCCGTCATTCTACTGTAATGGATACTCGTCAAAACTACTATACTTTTTTTATGCCATTTATAGAGAAATATTACAGTAATAGAAAGATAAGGTTTGCCTTTAATCCTTGATTCAACATTTCAAAGGTGTAATGGCTGGTTTATACAACATTTTAATAGTCATGTTTATACAACTGTCTTACTCACAGTCATAAGCAGATGCCTTTTTTAATTTTAAAGGCCGTCTGTCACGATACAAAATTTTGTTCATAATTTGGTACCAAATTTCCTGAAAAAATTCGTTAATGAATTCAATTCCTAATCTGTTTACCAATTACAATCTTGTCTGACACATACAGAAATGTTTGTACTAATTTTCGTACGAAATCATGCGTAGTTGGTAGAAAAAAACTATAACTGTCAAATTCTAACTGCCATTTATCACGTCAAAGTCATTCGAACCACACTTTCCTTTGCGGCTTGCTACTTTATTCCTTCATTACTTTAAACGAATAGAAAACTACAGAAAATGGAGCGATCCCGTAATTCGCATATATTATATGCGAATGCGGCAGCAGCGATCTGCGTTGTAGCTGCCCACCTCATGAGAAAACGAAGTAAACGAAACCGTAAAAGAATTTGGTACTGAAAATGGATCAGGGAGAGGGACTGGGGCATGTATGTGCTCCATATGCTGAATAAAGAGCTTCTAGTGGATCCACTGGCTTATAAGCCTAATTGGTTCTGATTTTATCTAATGCAGCTTATTTGGCTTTTGTGTTTTTATAGGCCTTTTTATAGCATATAAGGAATCAAATTTCTCATATAGTCTTTTTCACCAGTATCCATTATGGTAGAAGGACAGCTGATGATATAGTAATATTTTGAAATTACCCATATCGGCACAAGACACATAATTCTGACAGATCTGTGAATGACAGGTAGACCGAGCCATATTTTGTTTTGGTTTTTTGGTATGCTAAAGATCCATTTCATACTTGCTATATTTAATATAGAAAAGTCTATTTGCATACAAAAACAAAATGCGATAAACAGGTTTTACTAGATCTACACCCGATTTATTGCCAATGTTGCAGACTAACACAAAAATGTTATTTGCTGATCAGCTGTTCACCTCAGTAGATGTCAAAGCATGATGGATACTCGTGAAATAGGGTATAGAAAAAAACAATAAAGAAAATCTGAGTACATAAAATTGTTTTAAATGGTTTTTGAGTATTTGAACAATAAACAAAATGATGTAACATCCTGTATAGTGTAGTAGGTCACAGTTTGTGCTCTATTATGTGTTGGCAAAATGTAGGTTAAGTATGTTGTCAGTTGTCAAGTAGTAAGGTAGGTCACAGTTTTGACATGTTGTCAACCTGGTAAAATGTTTCATTCATAAGCATAATCATAATATTTAAAAATTATAAACTTCAAATATGATTATGCCCAGGACCATGTGTATAAAAATTGTTCATAATGCATACATATTGCAACTAACTATTATGCATAAGTCTGAGGTTGTATAAACCTGCCATGAGTTAAAGTGGAAGTGACTAATTTACCTTTTTAACATAATACCTAGTTCCAACATCAATAATAACTTCATTAGTATCTTTAAGCTGTCCTGGTACAAACATCTAAATAATATTAAGGCAAAATCTATTTCTTCAGAGTTGTATAAATCATTACAAAAATATTTTAATATGTCAAACCTTTAGAGAACAATATAACCATGGGCTCTTGTAAGCATTCTAATCTTTGTTGTTTAAAAGGATACAGATGCCGTAAGTGGAACTAAAATTTCTTGCCCTTCAGTTTCTGGTGTAATTTTCTCCATGATATCACCTGAACCTTGGTATCTCAATTGAGCAACTTTTAAAGATGCCATTGATTCTTGCATTAGTTGCAACTCCTTAAAAATACAAAAGAAAACACAATAATTAGCATAATATTGCAAAAAAATTTGTAAAGGAGTATGTTAACATTTTCTGTGTAACTAGTCTGTTTATGTTAAACGCCAAGCAAAATGTTGGAAAAATGTCCATCAGGCCAAAGTCATGTTTCCAACAAATAATGTGTCTAATCTACCATCTACATCAAAAGCTGACACAAGACAGGAATGACATGTACTGAAAAAAAAAGAAGAAGAATTGTGACAGTTGTGAAACAAATGTCCACTTTTGCCTTGACTGTTTCAGAACAAGTCATAAATAAATGAAATTATCTTATATTTTGTATTCCTATATCATAACTTATTTCATATATATGCATTTTCACTGGAATCTTGTTTGTTTTTGTCAAAGCTGTTGTGTAGATTTAGTAGGAGATGTGAATAAAAAAAATTGAATAACTATATTTAAAACAAAAATACACCAAAAAGTTGGCATATGGGTATAATCCATACAAGCCACAGCGGTCCATAGCTAATGCTAAAATGGATTTAAATATGGACCTCTGGCTGGAGTCACTGTGGAAATAAATTAAATACAAAGAGGTCCATACGGACCACCATGGCGTGAAAGGCCTGTTGTCAAGTGGCCCCATGGGTCCGTACGGCTTTTAACGTGTTAAGCTTCTTTGGAGCTTAACCGATTTGTAAATTAGCTGAAAGGAATGTGATAAACACAGAAAAATACATGTATTCAATTAATTATGTACATTGATCTTAATTACACTACATATTTGAAATATCTTAAGCTGCATCAATATCCCTAACCTTAAAACATGATTCTTGGTCACGATTTTTAATCCAAAGCAATATTTCTGCTCAGCATATAACAGACATCTATTTTTAGCTGAAAAATTGCTAAATTTAATCCTTTTCCGATTATAAGAAGCCATATAAGGTTCATACCAAAATATGTATTTGCAGTCTGGAATATTTTGTTGGGATAGAATCATATTTTATGGTCAGAAAACGAAATAAAACAAGGGAATTAGGTTTACTCACGCCTTCCAACTGTTGTTTTAAACCGATAATTTGTTGTAAGCTGAGTTGAGTTAGGTCAATTTCTTGCATGCCCCTCCTGGGCTGAGCTGAAATTTCTGACATTTTTCTTCTTTGTGCAATTTTTCTAATTATTAAATAGTATAATCAAACTTTTTGGAAAATCAAAAATCTTTCAGGAATTTGTAGATTTGTACACATGACAATGACAAACTCGCGAAAACCAAAGTGACAGACACAAAACACAAAACACCTAAGTCTGAAGAAGTGAGAGCTGCACGTTACCATTGACGTTTGTCAGATGGTTTCGCCTATTTGCCTGGAGATCTGGAGCAGGGGTCGGCACGTCGGCAACCTGCGGCTCGCGAGCCGCATCCGGCTTCTTTTTTGATGTCAAGTTGCGCCTCTCCAGTTCATAGTAAATCCTCTCAACACATACATAAATGAGATCAACATTGAGCTATTTGGAATTAATGTTGGTTCGTTTCAAATGCAATTGCTGGTTTTTGCAAATTGTAACTTTTGGCTCTTCCGTCCCAAAAGGTTGCTGATCCCTGATCTGGAGGAACTATCGAAAGAATGTCAAGAATGCGCCTAGAATAAGGAATGCTAGAAATGTGCCGAAATGAGGAATTTCGTTTGGTCATAATTTGATATCTGCTGAAAATGATATACCCGATATTGAAGGATTATCCCGTGATCATATATTAATAGAATATCCCCAATAAGGGTAATCTCTGTTTCAGCAGTTTTGTGAGAACAATGTTGAGAATAATAAAATCCAACACTAATTATGAAGCACAATATATATACTTTGAAGTTGAGTCATTAATTTTCAGATAATGATTGTAGAAGGAAGATAAACCAAAATATGTGTGTAAAAATAAAAAAATAAATAAAAAAAATGTTACCTTGTTTAATAAAGTATCGTCCCGACAAGTATTTCAGTGCGGACCTGTATTTGATCGTGCGGTCTTGGAGCAGCATGCCCTGACCTGTGAGGTCTTAAGTCACCTGATTCACGAGCCCTTTGTACTACATTAACAAAGGCACGAGGGGTTGGTTGCACTCGATTGGGAAACCGATTCGCATAAATCCGTGATGCATCCGGGAGCATTTTGTAAAGACTGCCCCCCGTAAATAAGAATCATGTCCACAAGTTCAGCATTTTCTTAAACATGTGCCATTTTTGATTTCGTTTGAGCCACGCAACAAACACTACTATTCACTAACGCGTTATCGACTGACGAAAAACATCGTGATAAACGTTTCAAATTCTTTCGCTTTTTTGTTTCCGATGCGATGAACCGGTCAGGCGGATTATATCCGTTGTCGCCAAACACGAACATACATATAATATTATTATTGAGACAGGGCGGTACTCAAACTTCCAAAGGACTATAACTAAGTCACCCTGTATATACAGGGTGACTTCGAAGTTGAGTCATTTATTTTAACAGTGAGTAGATCTGATCAAAAGAAATGTTTTTTCCTTTACCATTTTTCTGGTAAAATTAAAGTAACAAAGTTATAGCCCTTTGGAAGTTTGAGTACCGCCCTGTCTCAATAATAATATCATGTACTCGTGTTTGGCAACAACGGATATAATCCGCCTTACCGGTTCATCGCATCGGAAACAAAAAAGCGAAAGAATTTGGAACGATGTTTTTGCAATTAAGTATTTTATTCAGTTCAGTTATACATACAGTCAGTGTCTGTCGGTTAGCGTGTGAATAGTGTCTGTTGCGTGGCTCAAACGAAATAAAAAATGGCACATGTTTATGCGGATCGGTTTCCCAATCGAGTGCAACCAAACCCTCGTGCCTTTGTTAATGTAGTACAACGGGCTCGTGAATCAGGTGACTTAAGACCTCACAGGGGACCTCACGATCAAATACAGGTCCGCACTGAAATACTTGTCGGGAGGATACTTTATAAAACAAGGTAATTTTTTTTTTATTTTTACACACATATTCTGGTTTATCTTCCTTCTACAGAGATGTGCAGCTGAGCTTGCTCCAGTTCTTTCGCGTCTCTTCCAGATATCTTATGAATCCGGCACCTTCCCAGAAAACTGGAAATTTGCTCATGTACAGCCCATCCCAAAAAAAGGATCTAAAACCGACCCTTACAACTACAGGCCTATAGCTCTGCTTTCTGTTATAAGTAAAGTGATGGAGAGGTGCATAAATCGCGAGCTTCTGGACTACCTCGAACGTCACAGCTTGATTAGCGACAGGCAGTACGGTTTCCGGCACCAACGATCCACAGGGGACCTCCTAGCTTACGTCACGCAACTGTGGAGTAAACTCATCCAGTCTCATGGTGAGGCTCATGTCGTTGCTCTTGACATCACGAAAGCGTTCGATCAGCTGTGGCACGCTGCCCTCTTGAGCAAACTTCCATCCTACGGCCTCCCAGAAAAGCTTTGCAGATGGGTGGCTGACTTTATCTCTGGCCGCAAGATATCCGTCGTAATTGACGGATTCTCCTCTTCATCCCACAACGTCAACGCGGGTGTTCCCCAGGGATCGGTCTTGGCTCCAACACTGTTTCTCTTACATATCAACGACCTCCTTTCCTGCACGATCAACCCAATCCACAGCTTCGCTGATGACAGCACTCTACATGCAGGAATTCAGAGTGACAAGCCGATCTCTGCCGCTGAGCTGGAAAAAAGAAGACTAGCGACGACTTCTTCTCTGACAAGAGACCTGGAGGCTATCACTGCTTGGGGACGCAACAATCTTGTACAGTTCAAAGCTTCCAAAACACACTTTGACGAACAAAAAGCGTCCTAGCGCTCATACAGTTTCGATGGACGGTCGAGTCCTACCAAAGAGCCATTCATTTCGGCTGGTCGGAGTCCAGATCACCGAGGACCTGATCTGGCACGAACACATTTCTTCAATAGCTGCAGCTGCTGGGAAAAAGCTAGGCTATTTGTTTAGGGCTAAGAAGTACTTTTCTCCGCATGACCTTCTCACTCTATACAAGGCCCAGATAAGGCCTAGCCTCGAGTATTGCTCACACATTTGGGGTGCTGCCGCCCCGACTACATTGTCCATGCTCGATGCTGTCCAGAGGAGGGCGGTCCGACTGATCGATGACTCTTCTCTAACAGACAGTCTCGGGACTCTTTCGCACCGGCGGGCCGTCGGCGATCTAGCTCTTTTCTATCGCTACACCAACGGGCTTTGCTCCTCAGAGCTCTCTTCCATGATGCCGCCGCGCGATGTGCCTGCCAGACAGACCCGCCTGACTTCGGCGTCCCATCCTAACCGTGTCAAACCGCTCCTTTGTCCCGAGGGTGTCTAGATTGTGGAACAAACTACGGGAGGAAGCTTTTCCCAGTTCTACTAACCTTAGGCAGTTCAAAAATCGTATTAACAAAATTTCTTTGGGATCATCATAGCAGCCGCGGTGTTCCGGCATTTAGGCTTCTGCCTGCGCGGCTGTTTCGATATATAAAAAAAAAAAAAAAAACAAAAATACAATCATTATCTGAAAATTAATGACTCAACTTCAAAGTCATAGTTTCACAAAATAATCATATGCTGTTCACAATGTTATAAAAATTGTATTACATACATGAAAATATGGATAGATTTATTCCAAATTCATGTTGTGTGTTCCAGTTCACCCATAAGACGTTTCACCCCCCTGGTAACATCCAGGGAATGGCTATTATGTAAAAAAAGACGAAATGTCATCTTGTATACTACAGTATATTCAGATAAGAGATAGACCGGATGTAAACAAAAGGTTCGGGTGATTTTCATGCTAACGCCGCCGTCTCGACGTAAAACAGGAGCCCTCATTGGTCAATTCGCAATTAAATGCCTATGCCAAGCGGCAGAGCAGTCGTATCAAGGCAGAGTCACATTTAGGTTCAGACGTGTTACGTATGTCGTGTGCATCATTGCAATTTGATATTTCTTTGGACGTTTTCGTTTGTTATCTTATTAAGTTGTTGAGTTTGTCGTTGTTATTGTTATACCTTGTTATTGATTGTTATTGTTATCAACTGCTTGCGCAAAATGCCCAGTAGTACAGATACTGCCGATGAAGTTGTAAACTCCTGTAGTCCACCTAGGAAACGCTCTAAAAAAAGACACCTGAGTGCAGAAATGAAAGAGGTCATTTTGAATATATATAAGATCGAGCGCGAGGAGAACGAGGCATCAACCATCAAAGAAATTGTTGTGAAGGTTTCTCACAAAGTTGGGGTGTGTCGCGCATCAGTGTTTAATGTGTTAAGACAACACAAAAAAAATCACACCTTTTCTGAGCCAATGACCAGTAAACATCGCAAAAGTATTGTTAAATCATTGGATGAAGCTGATAAGCATGCGATTAGGAGGAAAGTGCATGAATTCTTTAGGAATGAATTACCTACTATAGATAAAGTACTGCAGGAGGTAAATGGAGATACAACGTTGCCAAATTTCAAACGATCAACTTTCCATGCGTTACTGAATCATTTAAATTTCAAATGGAAAAAAACGGGGTCATAATAGTTTACTACTGGATAGAGAAGAAATTGTGCTATGGAGGAGGGATTATTTAACAAAAATTGGGAAATATAGAAATCAAAACAGGAAGATTTATTACCTTGATGAAACGTGGGTAAACGCAGGACACGCTACAAGTAAAGTATGGGTTGATGATTCTGTAACTTCATCCAGGAGGGCCTTTCTAGATGGACTGTCCACCGGATTAAAAAATCTAGCAGGTAAATACGAGTAATAGACAACAATCGGATGTTTTTCAAACCTTGGGAACAAGGTTCTAAACATTAATTCCAGGGGGCAGATAAAACATATTACAAGTAACAAAACTTTTATAACTTTCGATAAAATGCGTGGATGTTTTATTGTCATTTTCATTTGTTAGAACTTTTTTAAGCCATGTTTTTATGTGTTTTCGATATTTCAATAATTTTTTAATATAATCTTAAAATATGTCGAATATTATAAACTTAAAAAAAGTTACTAAGTTTTATATTGTGTACCGTTCCTAATATTTCTAATCATTTTACTTCATACTTTAAGCTTTATAAAGTTATGATTTGTTAATATTAATATTTGCGCGTATTTCAGGTTCCTGATCATTCATTTTTTAAAGGTTTATAACTTTAAATTAAATTGTGAAGCGCTGAGTAATCATACGACGTTCAATATTCTTTCTTTCAATATGACCAAATAATCCCAATTA